CCATGCTGCCCCACTATAATATATATACATTTTTATACATAAATTTGTAAAAATTAACACAATGCCCCCCCTAAAATTAATAAAATGGCTTCTCTATCTCTGAATCCACTATATTTTATTTTATTTTATGCGTATAATTTCTAAATATTTACAAACCACCCTCACAAAATTTATAAATTATCCCCATAAAATTATCTATTTCTAAAAATGTCTTTAATTCTTTATTCATTTTCCTTCTTATTCTTCAAATTTCTTTTTGTCATCTTCAAAACTTTTGCATTCTCTTTCTACAATTAAAACCTATCATTTCTTTCAAACTTCTCTCATATTTTTTTCTTTTTATTTCTTTTTTCTTCTTAAAAATTTCTTTTTGTGCACTAATGCATAATTTATGTGCAAAATAACCTTCTTTTTCTTTTTTCTCTTTTTATTCATTTTTTATTCATTTATTCTAATACATTGTTGTTACACTATTATATTTTCGGCCTGCTTGAAAAAAAATATATATATATTATCTAACATGCCCCCTGAACCAAATTCCTGGCTCCGCCCCTGTTTATGCTTCTTCTAAATATAAAAATTATATATTCTAAAATTTCTGATATCACTCAACTAAATTCAAGAATTCATAACTCATCAAAAAATTTATATGATCTTTTTTTATATATGAAGTGATCAAATATCTACAAATAGTTTTTCAATTTCCAAATGTTTACACCTTTTCTCTTATATATGATTTTTTTTTTTAGAATTATGTAAGTATGGATGTGCGACGCAGTGTGTTCTCCCAACAATACTCCAATACTCTTTGTGTATAATAATCTTGTCCTTCGCTTCCGACGGTTGTAGATAATTTTGTTAGTTTTCTCCAATATCTCAATAAATGGACAATCAATTAATAATATTTGATTTTTTTATCAAGGTTATAAAGTTTATATTATTTTATACATACAAAAACATGTAAAAGTTGTGAGATAATCTATTCACACGGAAGGTATTAAAATGCCAAAATTTTATTTTAAACCATATAATTTACATTCTGATTGTATTAGTTTGGATGAATGACCCTTTACAACTCATCACAACTCCATTCACATTCAACAGAAATTTCACCATTCATATATAATTTTTGCCTTTGTTGTTATTATTAGATCATGTTCATGTTGTGTTGAGATCATAAGTATTCAAGACACTGTCGATCTAATTATGATTAGTTTATTAATTATGTAATGACGTGCCTATTTAAAGAACTAACATAGTATGATCAATTTATTTAATGGACGGGCTCTTGTAACACATGTAACATAAAACATTGTAATATCTCATCTAATATTTTTTTATTAGTAAATTGCAAATATCAATGAGATCAAATAACTATATTGCCTACTAATTTTCTCTCTTTTAGATTGACAATATATTTCTTGTTTCACTGTTATAAATTGACAATTAATTATTTCTTTTTATAATTATTTTATAACTGATAAGTCATATAAAAATATAAAGAATTATACGTTGTTCAACGAAATTTACCTCTATCATGAAGGTTTGGTGAAAGACTTTATTTAAAAATTACAAATTTTAATCCTATCACACTTCTGTACGATTTTTAGTGATTCTAAATTTCTACATTCTAAATTCTAAACGCACTTGTATATCACATCGGTTACCAAATAACAATAAGGGTAAAGTGCAAAAAAAACCCCTTTAACTATTGGTCGTTTACAATTAACCCCCCTGAACTACAATTTGCCCCTTTGAACTATTAAATTTGGTGCAATTAACCTCCAATGTGACATCTCCGGCCAATTGGTGAAAATAGAAATAGTAAAAGACAATTTTACCCCTTATAAAAACTGTATCGTTTCAGTGTGTACCGTCTCTGAAAAAAAAAAAAAAAAAAAAAAAAAAAAAATTCCTTCTTTACTCCATCCTCACCGATCACCACGTTCTCAATCTGCATCCTCACCGATCCCGTCTCTGTAAAATCCTTAACTTTCTTTCACACTGAAACTTGCTTTCCTCTTTCTTTATTTATATATATAGAGAGAGAGAGAGAATCAACGCCGGCGACCACAACTTTACAACGTCGAAAATCAGAGACTGTTCCGGCGATGTACGAGCAGTGAGTTCACTCCACCGTCCTCTCCACCGCCGGCGGCCACCATCCGAAGCCAAACTCGTAGCCGTTCAGTCTCGCCGGATGCCATCAAACCCAATCACGGCCAAGCTTCTTTATAACATCCCATCATCGGAATCGCGGCTTCTTTAATCGCTGATTCGCTGCCGTCCTACGAGATGGTCGGAGAACGTAGAACGAATTTTTTGTGCTCGGAGAACGCCGACAATAAAGGACGGTTACGAGATGGTCGTGACGACGACAGGGTTGACTGGTGGTCGGCGACAAGGACTGATGATGGCAGAAAATAGAACGCCGGCGAAATGATCGGAAGTTGCAGGTTGTCGATACAATCTGATATAGAGAAGGTTTGGTGCGTAATGACGCGTGGTGCGTGATTCCGGCGATGGGCAAGGAAGGAAGAAAACACTGCGAGCAAGGATCGGCATTGAGTACGGGATGGCCGTGACTGACTGCAACCTATGAGCTCGGTGAGGATGGCGTCGAAAGGTGATTGGGATCACCGGGACGGGTCTGTGATATCGTTGGATCCGTAATCGGATTCCGACCAGAGACCGAACTTGCTACGAATCCGTGGCCGGCGTCTCGACTCCGTCAATCTCTTCGCTCCCGACGAATCTCCGTCACCGATTGCTTTGCTTGATAGTGATTCCATAGTGGTGACGCCGGCCATAGGAAAGAGAGAGGAGAGAGATGGCAGGGGAGTGAGAGAAACTGAATAAAAGTGGAAAAGAGTTGCAGCTGACACGTGTTGTCGGTTTTGGTTGGGGAAAAGCAAGTCGGGTAGAATAGCACTGCTCTTTAGGAAAATAGGGCAATGTTTGGTTGGATTTAATGGTAATAAAAGGGGCATTATGGTCTTTTAGCTACATAAGGGGTTGTATGGTCATTTAAAAAAATTAGATTGTCACGTGACCCATCATGTGCGTTTTCACAGTCAAATTCAACCGGTTTATTACCGGACGGAGTAAATTGTACCAAATTCGTTAGATCAGAGGGGTTATATGTCGAATTAGTAGTTCAGGGAGTTTTTTGCTACATGATTAATAGTTGAACGAGTTTTTTGCTCCTTACCAAGATCCATTAGTCATGAACAAAACCGGTCAAAAAGTTCATTCAATGAATTTGTAGAGTTGCAACGCGACCGACACTAAACGTAGACCACATCATCACGAAAACTAATTAAAATATCTAAGGGCTGAGTTGACTAAAACCAGCCCTACTTTGGAGAACTTAAATGGAAATTGATTTTTTTTGGACGTTCAATGAAATTCATCCTGCCCAAATTTCAGTCCTAACCTCCTCAAGTCCGTGCTTCAACTTTAGTAGTTGGCTCCTCTACAACTAATATACCATATTAGATGTCTAGCCGACGACTTTGAGGACAAATTAGTGCCAACCAACAAACATGTTACAGTGGATGATGATCTTGACTAATCATAATTTCATATATTGTATGTACTTTCTGTCTCATTTTAAATGTCGACTTCAAACCCATGACTCACAATTCAAACAAAGTTAATATAATTAAAGAATGAGTACCGCCAAGGGGCGTGTGGGCCCATATCTTTCTCCCTCACTCCCCCTTCCTCTCATTATCTCTCACAGTGGTGTCAAAATTTGACATTTTCTTTCACAAATTCATATGATACTATTGTCAAATAGTGAGAACTTGGCAAAATTTCCCCACATTGTATTCAAGTTGAGACTTCAATGCGCTTATGAAATTAACAATAAGTTGTTGAAAATTTCGAAATGATATAAACCAATGAATTCTTACAGGTAAATTACAAATATATATATATATATATATATACAATCTCTGCTTCTAATTTTTGGCACAATACTCATATATTAAAATAATTGACCTAAAATTTCTTTGGACTATCAACTTTGCAGCAGACACCTCCAATCTCAGTCAAGCCATTAAAATTACACTATAATAATAAAAATGCCCTCAATAAAATTTAGATTTTCTTTAAAATAACTAGGGGTAGCTTCAAGCATTAAAATTAAGGGATATTTTCGTCCCCCTAACATAATTCTAATAGCTAACTAACGTTGGAAGTGTCTATTGCAAACAATTGGATAGTCTAGGAGGTTTTAGGTTTTTTTTGTTTGCTTGTGTGCAGAGAATATTGTGCCAACAATTAAAAGTAAAATGAAGTTTGATGTAATTTGCCCTTTCTTAAAACAAAATCAATATTACACAATTAATTTATTTTTTTTAGACGGGTGGTGCTATCAGATTGACGAGTGGTTTTACGCACATCACATTGTTGCATATGTGCTTTTGGCAATTTGACTTACTATGTCGTTCATTTCATCGGTCTCAAAATCATTTTTCTTTTGAATCAAAATCATTCAAAAACATAATTCACAAAAAAAATTAACTTCACATCAATCTCAACTTTTACTCCACCTTTACTCAAACAAAAACATATATACACACATATCTAGAAATTATTGTTAGGTTAACATTTTTCACTCCCTAAATCAACAAACCAATGACTTACTTTAAAATCAGGTCTAATCTTATAAATTCAATTCATAAGCTCCACTACATTTTTCTTTTATTTTTATTTCAGCCATTTTGATTCTTGAAACCAACCATTGATACACTAAACTCAAAAAATACATTTTCAGATTGAGAACCATCGCGTCAGCCTTTGGAAATAAATAAGCAGTAACATGCTGTAGCAGTGAAGACAAGTCATCATCACAGTCTGTACCTCTTAAAAATTAAATCCAAAGCAATTTGTGTCCACTAGTATTGTTAGAGTAGTTCTCAGCCACAGATTGGTTGACCCCACAAGAACCCTATTGCTTCTCCAAGATTCTAGCTTTTTTTTATATGAAAATCCCACACCTCCCTTATCTTCACACCCTCACCTCTCTTGATCCACCACCAATGACTTCACTTTCTTGCATCCTCACACATTCCTTCAAATACATATCTCCTCTGATCTCTCATCTTTTCTCTCACACTCCTACACTGGTGGTTTAGTTAACCAATCCATTTTTGTTTTCTGAAATTAAGATATTTGTACCCAAAAAACTCCATTTGGTAGTGTTAATGGCTATTTTACCTAATTATTCAATATGGGTGTTTTCTTGAATCTTGACAAGTAGGTCTCTCTTTTCTCACTCCATCTCCATCTCCATCTCCTCTGTTGAATTTTGCTCAAGGGTTTGCCATAAAATAGGAAAATAGGAGAGAAAGGGGAGATCAATAGAAGCAAAATGAAGATCCAGTGTGATGTGTGTGAGAGAGCTCCGGCAACTGTGATTTGTTGCGCCGACGAGGCGGCGCTGTGTGCGAAATGCGACGTCGAAGTTCATGCCGCAAACAAGCTTGCGAGCAAGCACCAGAGGCTACTTCTTCAATCCCTCTCAAATAAGCTCCCTCCATGTGACATATGCCAAGTAATTTGATTTCTTGCCTTTTCTTTATCTTTTTGACATGGGTTATGAATTTGATGTTGATTTAGTTTAGTTTTGTAAGGTTTAATTTCTTTTTGTTTCCAAGTTCTGCAAATTGTTTGGTAAATTTGGTGCGTATATGCATTAACTTTGTATTGTAGTTGGTGGTTTGTATTATTGAATGACTTACGATGAAATGGAGAATTTTTACTTCCTTGTGTTTTGGACCTGTTTGTGTTGGTTTTAAATTGTTTGATTTGTTAATTTCTAGGTTCTAATTATGCCAACTGATTGGTCAATTTGATAGATGTTAATCAGCATGGTGTGTGGTATGATACTAGTATTTGATCGCATTTATGAAGTCACTTATTTTGCAATTGAGTGATTCACTTTCCCTTGCTTTGTTTGGTAACCAAGAAAATATTATTATGCAATTGAGTGATTCACTTTCCCTTGCTTTGTTTGGTAACCAAGAAAATATTATTATGCAATTGAGTGATTCACTTTCCCTTGCTTTGTTTGGTAACCAAGAAAATATTGAGGCAAAGAAAATAGTCCTAGTACATAGAGTTGAAACTTGCAAGGATCTGAGAAGCAATTGGGTTGGGATATGGTAATGAAATTAGATTTTAGTCTCTTATTATTATTTTTTTCAATTTTGGGTCTTCCTGCACAATTATTGGAGCATTTAAAATATTTTTTACTCAAGATCTGCATTAATAAATGGTATGGCAATATGGAAGTTCTTGTTATTGGATCTGTCCATGTTATTGGATTTCTTTCCCATCAGAATCATTAAGTTTCATGGTAAACGAACGAGAAGATTGAGTTAAGGAGAAGTGAACATGGATGAATATTCCCGAACACAATAATCATTCATATGGCAAAATAGTAGATAATGTCAGCCATAAGAACAAAGGGTTTTGTATGGTTAACCAAAATAAAATTTTACCTACTTGTGTAACTCATAATGTTTATGATCGGAAATGGGAAAAAAGAAGTATTAAATCAAACAAGAAAAAAATCTCTATGAAATATGTGCACAAAACATTTGAAACCAAGGTGTTAGTCTTTCTAATCGATCGTGCAGGTCTTGAATAATTCCTTATTAGAGGATTTTGTATTATTTATTACTTACATTCCCCTTTTCAAATGAAGGAGAAAGCAGCTTTCATCTTCTGTGTGGAAGACAGAGCTCTCTTCTGTCGGGACTGCGATGAGCCAATCCATTCCGGCAATAGCCTTGCTGCAAACCACCAGCGATTTCTGGCCACAGGAATCCGAGTTGCTCTGAACTCAAATTGCACCAAGGACATCGGAAAGAGTTACCCGGAGCCACAGCCACCCGAGCAGAATGAACAACAGATATCCATGAAAACACCCTCACAGCAAGCCTCTGGCTTCACATCACCACCGTCTTGGGCTGTGGATGACTTGTTGCAGTTTTCTGATTTCGAATCGACAGACAAGGTAAGGAAGTCATGCACACATGAAGGAAACACCTCTTCATTTATTACACAAATATGCTATATATTTTCATCATCACCATGTGATTCATTTGTTTGATGTTTTTTCGTTTAAAACTCAACTTCTTGTAAATTGTTGCTTTTATCGTCTATTCAGAAGGAACAACTTGAGTTCGGAGAGCTTGAATGGTTCACAGACATGGGTCTCTTCGGTGAGCAAGTACCTCAGAAGGCATTGGCAGCAGCTGAAGTTCCTCAACTTCCGATATCACAGTCAAGCAATGCCACCTCATACAGACCTACCAAATTCAGCATGCCCAACAAGAAGCCGAGGATTGAAATCCCAGACGACGACGACGAGTACTTCACTGTCCCTGATCTTGGCTGAACTCAGTCAGACCAAAGATCTGTGGTATAGCTGCATGTTAGTATAATAAAAATCGAAACATACATTCACAGACAGATGTGTGTATAATTATGTTCATGTAAGCACGCGTATAATGAGCAAATATACAAATTCAGTTGAGGGTTTTGATTTAGGGGCTATTATCTTTTTGGTTCTATTTTCTTTTCTGTTTTCTTTTTTTATTTGTTTTATTTTTGATGCAATAATATGATAATCTGTATTTTCGCTCAGGTGTATTATTGTGTATATTATACAGTGTGACTGCATGCTTACAAAATTTATTTCTTTGCATTTGTTGAGGGCTTATCCTAGTAAATTTGGAGCTTCTGCATCAGCATGTTTGATGATAAGGTTGTATAATCATAAATTTTTTTTTTTTTTTTTTTTTGTCGCATTGCTTTATTTTTATCACTACTTGCTTGCTTGACCAAAGGAAAAAAAAAATGACTTGCTATAACCTTCACTCAGAAACCATGAGCAGTTCAGCTTTCTTAACCCAATGGCCATGTATACAACTTCACTGTAATCGTGGTAGCCATTGTTGTGACCATTGTTCCAAAGAATTGGTTCGTTCCATTATTTTAAAACTAGATATCCAAGTGATAAATTTTTGTTATCAACTGATGTGATATGAAATTATAAATCCCCTTGTTGTGACACCTACCAACCCTAAGTGTCTCACAATGGCTAGGGTTCCACCACAGCTGTCAAAATGCCACAATACCTAAACTCAAGTAATGTTACAAATATCATCTTACTACAAAAAGAATAATGTTATCTCACAATTAATGGGATTGCTTTATTTTTATCACGCTTGCTTAAAAATAAATAAATAAATAAATAAATTTGACTTTGCTATAACCTTCACTCAGAAACCATGAGCAGTTCAGCTACTCTTAACCTAATGGCCATATAAACAACTTCACTGTAATCGTGGTAGCCATTGTTGTGACCACTGTTCCAAAGAATTGGTTCGTTTCATCATTTTAAAACTAGATATTCAAGTGATAAATTTTTGTTATCAACTGATGTGATAATTATTAATTTTTTTTAAAACAAATTTAATATTCTAAATAGAGAAACGTAATTCTTATTAATATCAAATACCAAAAAGAGTATTTTATAACATTATTCTTTTTGTAGTAAGATGATATTTGTAACATTACTAGAGTTTAGGTATTGTGACATTCTGACAGCTGTGGTGGAACCCTAGCCATTGTGAGACACTTAGGGTTGGTAGGTGTCACAACAAGGGGATTTATAATTTCTCTGCACAATCATCACAGGTGTCCCTATGGAGGGATTGGGATGGGTGGTAATAAGACAATTCTTGTGTTATCAACCATTTAATACATAAGATATTTTCTTAAACAAGTTTTCATTACTACTCTGCAAAATCACACATGGCTCTCTGTCAAGGCCTTGAGATGAATACTACTAGAGCAATTTGGTTGGCTAATAAATGAGAAATATCCAACTACAAGTTCTTATTATGTGAATCTGGTCACATTTTCCTTCTGCAAATCCATTCCTAGTAAGATGCTATCCTACTTTGGGAACCAAAGTCACATAAAACAAGATCGAAGTCTAAAAACAATAGAATTAAATTTTAACTAGTAAGAATAAAGATAAGTGCGAAAACGACAGCTGTTAAAAAGGATTATATGACTTAATTTATAATTAGAAAATTAGTTCTTCACATGAATAAACAGAATATAGCTTTATTTATTGAATTAACGGGCAGTGCAATATTGACATTATTGGATAAGAATTCGTTACTAATGATCACCTAATATATACCAGTAATGATAGGGAGTTCGACAGTCGAACATATCCGATTAAATTTATGTGAGTAGGAGATAATGTCATCATATTTAGTGACGTCATGATAATATCATTATTCACTAACATAAATCAGTAAAATACATCCGAAAGCCGGACTATTTATCGTCATTCAATATATATTGACCAAAGCAAGTAAATTGCCTGCAATATTTATGACCATTATATGATGTTTCCGACTAAAATAGAAAGATAAATGCTTCCTAAAGAACCCTATGAACTCCAATATTACCAAGCCAAAATGATGAGCGAGAATGATTGAAGTTTTGGAGTTTGAATTACAAGTCCAATTTATATTATCGTTTCGCGAATTTCGATCGCGGAAGAGATATGTTTTTTCTGAAATTGTCTTTTACATTTTTTTGGATGTTCTTTGTATTTAAATTTCTTTATTTCTTCCGTGTTATGCAGTGAAATTTATAAGGTTTTTTTTTATGAGAACACTCTAATATAAACACTCATTATTGACAGTGAAATTTCTAATGGAGTCTGTATATGTAAATAGAAATTACCGAATTAAGTAAATTGTGTATTTTCTTGTAAGAATGTTTAATCAAAAGCAAAGAGGAAGAGGCAAAGATGCTTGCACGAATCATAACTTAATAACTGATCACCAATCTCAATAAAACCCTCTTCACATGTCTTTTATTTATTATTATTATTATTATTATTATTATTATTATTTGAAAAGTTAAGTAAATTTTATAAATGGATATTGGTTACAATGGGCTTCAGATATAACTGAAGAACTAGGCCCAAAGGCCGAATAAAAAACAACAACATTGTTCCCAAGAAATAGGCCCAGCCCCAATCTATTAGCTTCAGCTATAATTTAAAAACAATGCCGAACTTCAACAACATTGGACCCAAGAAATAGGCCCATCCCCAACCTGTGCCTCTGAAGAGGAAATGGTACCAAGTACAAGAAGGTATTTGGATACTATATAGCAATAAACAATACTCTAAAATGATTTTTTTAAACTAGTCATTCTATGTTTTTTAACTTGTAACACTTTTTTTACTTAACATAATTTTTTTTTTTTTTTTTTTCGCTTTCAAAAAACTTGAACAAATAATGTTATCAAACATGCTATCGATTATTATTCAAAATACTCTACGACAAAAATATTTATGTCTCTTTCGGATTAAAACAAAAAACAATTGCAAAACAATGCCGCAACAACATTGGACCCAAGAAATAGGCCCAGCCCCAACCTGTGCCTCTGAAGAGGAAATGGTACCAAGTACAAGAAGGTATTTGGACACTATATAGCAATAAACAATACTAATTTTTTTTTAAAAGAAAAAACTCTGAAATGATTTTTTTAATCTAGTCATTATATTTTTTTTAACTTGTAACACTTTTTTTACTTAACATGATTTTTTTTTTTTTTTTTTTTTTTTTTTTTGCTTCCAAAAAAACGAATAACGTTATCAAACATACTATCAATTATTATTCAAAGTACTCTACGACAAAAATGCAAAATGTTTCTGTTACCAAATAGGCCCTAAGTGATAGGTTCCACTCGCCTCCCGGTGATCGATGCTCTCAACCAGAAACTTGTGTAGAGGGAAGCCGTGAAATTGGCAGCTCAATGGAGTTATAAAACAATGGTATTTGAAGGAGATGCCCAGTCAATTAGATGTTGCAGGCAAATACAATTTCTTTGTATCATTTATTATGGGAGACAACCAACCACTCTTACATTCAAGTAGGAGGTTGACCCATTTAACATGGGCTTTGTTTTAGGTATTTGTTTTTAGTTAAAATATAAATAGTGTTTTTGTTGTAGGAATATTTTGAAAAAAAATCATAAATACGTTTGAGAACGATATTTTGCTGTGAAAATGTCGAAAATAGAAATATGGACGGTTATGGTTTTGAACCATGAAGAGTTATCAAAACAAGAGAAATTAATTTTTTAGTATTTTAGTTTTGGGCCATTGTTCACGAAGTATTTTAATATTATGTAAAATAAAATAAGGTCGCACCAAATATACTTTTATTGCTAAAATCGACAATGTAGCAATCCATAAACAAAAATAATAGAAACAAAATACATGTCAAACGAGTAGCTTCAAATTTTGATAACCAAAATGTTGCGAGTTTTTCATAAATTTATATATAAAAAAAAAAAAAAAAAAAAGAAATGACATTACTCAAAGGTCATTAAAGCTTCTTTTAAAATAAAAAAATCCCTATGCTTTTTGAAGAATTTTTTTCCAAGAATTTAAGTGGATATAAAAATTATTTTTCTTCAAATTTTTTTTCTACTGTCCAAATTCTAAAGTGTTTATTTTTTAGCCATTTCCATCCAATTAAATGAAGGATTAGGAAAATATTTTTTAATGAATGAAGCCGTCAATAAGATAACAGTAAAATTATTTATCACTTCACATAAAAGTAAAAAAACACTTAAAATCTAAAATAAAATAAAAAATTACTCAATTTATAATGAACTCTTAAAACTTAAATAATTTAATGCTTTATTTTCAATTTGACGTTTACCAAAAGTCCAGTCAACAAATAAGGAAGAATTGAAATTCCAATTTCATAAGCTTTTTGGGTTCCTCGTGTGTAGGTAACAAACTGCAAACAATATTGACATAAAAACCCATCTATCCTCGCTCTCTTCTATGGAGGAGACACTGAAAGTGCTCGAATCCTCTCTTTCTCAAACTAAATGGCGACTTAAATCTGCTTCAAAGCGTCGGCTTGAAACAGGTTACTTCTTTTTTTATTGCCTATATATATATATATCTATAGATACATTTCTTCAGTATTTGGATTGATTTCCCCCTTTTTTTAGCCTTATAAATCATTTAGTTATGATTTGGGCTTCTGGGTTTCTTCCAACTTTGAAACCCAGTTCTGATTCTGGGTTTTAATCTCTATCTGTCTGTATATATTGGGGTCTTTGTGAGACATGTAATGCTTATATGTGTGGAAAAAGGAAATTTTGATCTTATATTTGCTCTAGTTTCGTCAATGAAATAAGTTAGGCAATTGTGTTATGCTATCTTGAGTTGTGGTTATGGCTTTGTTATGTTCCAAGTTACGAGACTGCCCAAAAAAACAAAAAAAAAAAAAAAAACTGTATGAAAATTTTCCGACAGCCAAATGGGTCGATTAAGGTTTTTTGAAATTTGGCAACCCTGTTTTTATTTTGGAATAATGCTCTGATATTGCATTCATTTGTTAAAGTTCAGTAATTGCAATTAATTTTGCACTATATACATTAGATTCCTGAATTGTGATTCATGGAATTTCTTTGGACAGATGTTCTAGCTTTGTGCATGGGGATGAGGGCAGTTATAATGGTGGACTATGGTGGGAAGATGCCTGAACTGCAAGAGCGACTATGTGCATTTCTCAAGCTTAGTCAAAAGGTTTGACACCAAACTAGCTCATATAGCAATTGATTGAAGCAATAACAGTATTGCTTGCTGCCAATCTTTCATTATTGATACGTAGTAGCGACTTGTTTACCAATGTTGTAGTTATTTTTCAATAATATTATTCCCATAAATGCTATTCCTTTGCAGAAAATTGATGCCAAATGGTTTGGTCTTTGAGTTCTTAATTCAACTATTATATTATGAAGTTGTCACTCGATAGATGAATTATTATATTATAAAGTTTTTACTCAATAGATAATATTGAAGGACCCTGATTCTTTGCGCAATCTGCGAGATACGCAACAAACAAAAATTTTAAAAGGAGAAGGGAAGAAAGAGATGGACTTCAAAAGCAATTATAACTTTAAGACGTGTTTTGGCTATAACAGCTTTCTCAAATATGGATATCTTTTGCTGTACACACACACAAACATATATAATGCTGAACTTTACTTAACGAAAGATTTTACCAAGTGTATGGCTAAGATTAATAGTCCTGTATATTTTTCCTCATCTATCTCCTATGTAACCAACTCTTGTGGATTTTAGATTTTTACTATAAAGCTTTGTCATGTTTTAACAATCATTCATGGTTCTCCCAATTCCAGACTTGATTATACTGACTTGGTAAGACTAACTCTATCATTTCTTTTAATAGATATATAAGTGAAACATGTTCATGAATGATTAAATATGCAATAGTCAACTCTAGAAAATAAAGTATATATAATAAAAATGTTTATGAATGATTAAATAGGCAATATTCAACTCTACAAAATTATATATATATACATATATATATATATATTAAAAAATTTAAATACATGCAGCTTGTGTATGCCAGTGCTTCATAGCTTTGATGTGAGGTGGTTCAATTTAACATTTTTACATACTAAATAATTAATAATGATATTTTTTTGCCACAAGCAACAGATAAGGTCTTGGCACAATCTTATCAACCTTGTTTGAGCTGAATTGAATGGCAAGACGTGATCATGTAGCCAATCCTAGATAGATGGTTACTTGGATCTCAACGTTATTAAGACTCAATTTTGTTATAGTAATTCTTGTCCTTTTCTTGATCAATATTTAGTAAAGTTCAGGTAAAAAATTATTCCTCTTGTCTACTCATACATCATTATCTTTACATATGATTGCCTGAAATTAGTTGAATACCCAAAAAGTAGTCCAAACCCAAAAAAAGAGGAAAAAGAAAAAGAACGGGAGAAGGGATACATGGAAATCAAATTTATCTGGAATACCTTTTAAATTTATAGAAAGTTGGTTCTTTGGTTTTTTTTGGAAATTGCACATTATATGGTTATGGCAAAGTAATAGAGTTGTGGGCGTACAAGTCACTCACTGTGTGAGCATTAGGTTTCATTTTGACAGCTTTATCAAACTAATACTGTAAAATTTCATAAATAAAAGAATGGAAAAGGTAACCATCTTTTAACACATTGCTTCTGTTATAAAGGATGATCTTGTTGTTCCCTCTTCGATGGTTTATTAGAATTGGTTTATTTCAGGATGAATCTCTTCTATCTTGGAGAATGCATTTTTAACCTTGGCAATAGGCCACTAGTAAGAGAGGAAGCTATATATGGAAGAGTGCGGTCCTTGCGCTAATTTGGGTTCTTTTGAATGGGAGGTCATTCTAAATGTTAAAAGATAACCTCAAATTTCTGGACTATTTCTATGATAAAGTTGGACTTTTGTCCTCTCTTTAGGCCTTGGTAACATCATATTTTATTGTCCTTCTGGATTCTTCAAAATGGTTTCCTCCCATTAATCTCCTTCTAGGTGATCTATTGTTTCTTAGAGGCCCTTTTCCCGTGGTATATAGAACTTCTTTAATATATTATGGGCCTCTTCCCCTTCAAAATTTAACTGTAGGCCTCAGTTGGTCAAATTTTAATGAGTTCTTTTTAGAAAATTTATTAGGGATCACAAAGAAGTGAAAGAACATGGTATTCTGACTTATTTGTGTTCTACTACGCTTATGCTATTTTTCTTTGCTAGAGGTTTAAGAATAGTAATTTTGCTTTGAGGGATTCATTTTATAGAGAACTGCCTGGTTCCGGTGTGATCTGGCTATTCACACCTGAATTGGTTGGTTCTGTTTAAAGCCGGCTGGTTTAGGTTAAATTCATCGAATTGGACAGGCTGAACTGGCTTCGCCTAGCAGCAGTAATGTTTTTGAAAATGGTAAAAGGCCCAAGTTGAGATTCTTGAAAATCATAACTGGGACCTTTGGTAAGGATAATGAGAAACTTCCCCACTCATTAAAATCTTGTTTTTTGTTATAATTAGTGTTACTTTTTATTTTTTATTTCATCAATATAAAGCCCTTCAGTTAGTCAATATTGTAAACAAACATAATTGAAATTGATCATAAACTCACATATATGTCTAATATATTTTATATCTAGACAAAATCATATATTTTTTTAACTTTTAGATTTTTTTTTCTGTTTTTAATTCTCAAAAGTTATACATGGTATGAATTTTTATTTATTTCTTGCTTAAATCTACTATTATTCAATAATTTAGTAAAAAATATTACTAAGAAGCTTAATAGTGACGACTTGGTTTTCAAAACTTCAATAAAATTCACTAAAAATTACTTTTATATTGAATTATGTCGTAAAAAAGTTGCATATCAATACGTTTTGGATCCTAAGTGCAAGGTCAAAAAAAAAAGGATAAAGAAAATGAAAAAGAAAAAGAAATTTCATGAAAGTAATAACTGCTGTTACATGATGGGCACAATTCCGTTACACACTATCCACGTTGACAGCCACAACCCCATTTGTGAACCATGGTGTGTGTGTGAATTGTCGAATTTGAGTAGTGAATTTGTTTGCTGTTTTAATAAGTCTTGTGTTTCAAAACTATACACGCATAGAGACATGTTTAAGATGGGCAAATCCTATCTTGATAAAGGCTTTTCAAAGCCTTTCAAAATAATGAAATTTGATTGGCATAAGCACTCTTCTATATGGAAGCTAATTCTTGTTTACATGGGCTCTGTTTAAAAGCAATAAAGGTAAAAGGCAATATGGTTTATACTTTTTAGGGCCTCTATGAAATTAGGTGAGATATTGAAGACCAAATATCTCCAAAGACAGTTAGAGCTGGAAGTTCTCAACCCTATTTTTCGTTATTGGTACATAGTCACTATATATGATCTTGTTAGCTGTGTTGTATGCATTACTTAAAACCTCCCGAATAAGAAACGATTAGCAGCATGTAACATAACAAAGGTAACTGCAAATGGTTATGATAAGCAGCATGTTACATGGACTAGCATTTGTCTGCTTTTTACAATCAGTAGGGCTGTTCTCCAAAGTTGCATCAGCACTTTGACTGCTAGACAGCTATGTTTTAAGCAACACTTTATTTCTTACTTGTGGCTTTCTCAATTCCCTTCCAGTGACTTCAGCAATAAGAACTGGGATGATACTTTTAAAAATATTATCTTGCCAGTTTCCTGTTATCTCTCCATCTGCTTAAAGTAAAGGCAGGTAAAATATCAAACCACCACCCCCCCCCCCCCCCCCCAAAAAAATAATAATAATAATAATAAAATGACCACTGCAAAAGTTCTAAGAAATATTGTTCCCTTCCTTTATGTTTGGCTTTTAAGATAGTTCTTACATTAGTGGTTAAAGCTTCATCCAGAACTTATTTTTATTCTCCAACATGCTGCATTCTGGAAGGACTCAATACCAATACATGGAGACTTGAAGTTCAACGGAACATCATGCTTTTTGATTGAGATTAAGCACAGACTACAGTACAGTTGCCGACTTTCTTCTTGTTGTACTTTTTCTTATTGCTGATATCCAATGTCACCCTCTCTCAACTCCATGCTGCATTTTGTAGTTAAAAATGAATTATACTTGCCTTTATATGGCTTATTTTGTGAAATGTTTCCTTACCCACCAAATTTGATCTCAGTTTCAGAAATATATCGACCTAACCCAATATGGAAGCTTTAATATTGAGCAAAGATGTTTAGGGTTGCCATTTTATGCTATTATTTGGAGATATTTTCTTCATTAATTCTTTATGCATCATTATCATCATCTGTTTATATCTCTTGGAATCTCCACCAAGATGCTGTCCCCTTTTAGTTGGCTATTTGTTCTTTAGTTCAGTTATGTGTGATTGGTACTAGATGCACTATTCCACTACTCTGGCTACTATATTCTCCTCTTTCTTTTGATTGTTTGGAGTTTCATGTTAATAACAATTATAACTTTTCTAAATCTTTGATGTTGGAATATCCATTTACCAATGTTTGCAGAATTCTGATTAAAAATTTGCTATTCATGGTGTGTTTAACTTTCAGGAGTCTTCCATTTTTGAGCATCTGCGAGTCATGGTTATAGAAGATATGATATATTTGATACATGTTACAGGGCTTGCAGAATTTGTTAAGATCAGTTTAGATTCAGAAACAGAAATGCAATTTGTGGACCTCGAACAGGATCCTCCAAAGGTTCTTTACAATGGAAGCCTTTTGCATTCTGAACTCTTGCTTTTATTTTTCATCATTTTTCTTAGATTAATCCCCTTACTCATCTTTTTTTCAGATGATATCACAAGCTGAAAAAAGCTCATTAATAATGCAACTTGTATCAATTCAGAAGTTGTTCTCTTTGGTCTTTCCTGCTGATGGAAAGAACAACGATCTCGTGCCATGTCACAGGACAGATTCAAAGACCAATGCTGAATCCTCTATTGTTGAACAGAGTACTTCTCAGTCTTCTGAGTTTATTGATCTCAGTAGCTGCATGCAAGACACTCAGGTCACGGTACCAACTCTAAATGGGTATTTTCTCTACCTGTGTATTAGACCATGCAAGGATACTTACTAGAAATTGGTGTATGAATCTATTTGGATATGCACAAATGTATATGCAAATTATGTAGCATTTTAAAAACACTAAGTTCACTGAAATTTACTAGAATTGTAAAAAACGTTGTTAGATTATTAAGTCGTATAAAATTGTAAGAAATGTTTCTAAGATTATTACACCATATGCTTTATATATATCTAATGTGGTGCATATAAAACTAATGCATTTTGCTGGAAATGTGAGTGCTGCATGCATGCACCGAAGTCTAAATCTAATTTGGGCAACTAAAGTTTCTAACCATGTGAAGTCTCAACTATTGCCCTTATAAAAGAGGGTCCGCAAGTTACCTGGTTTAACTTGAATAGTTAGTGAGCAATACTTGTGAATTGGGTCTGGAAAATTTTCTTACTTCACCAAAGGAATGACCATAGGAACTATTTCTCCATTAAAGAACATATAAATTTCTTTGCCATGTTTCATGTTAAGGCTATTTAATTAAGTGCGGCAGATCTACATGTTTTGCTGCAGATGGCTTCTTGGTTATCCAGTGGTGTACTTGTTTGGCAAGGAGCATATTGCGGATGCTATATATAATCTTTCCACCAAGTCTCTCCATCTTTTCAAAATTTTAGTTTGCAGGTTTGTGATTCTCATCTCGGGATTTTTTTTTTTCAGAATTTAGACAAGATTTATAAATGACTTCTATTGAACCTCATATCGCTTGGCAAGATTTATTTCCGTCATTATGACAATATGGAAAAGAAACAAGTCCAAAAAATTAGTTGTTCTGTACTTCCAAGATTCCCGGACATGGAAAAAGATAAAATAGAATATTTTTTTCAAAGGAGTTTCAAATTGAAAAATATTTATATTGCTACCTCGTAAATGGTCTCTGTTGAAATCTGCCAAAACATCTGTTCCTTGGTCTGCCGATCTCTAAGCATGTCATACACTCTAATTTAATGCCAGTAAAGTTCACCACTTCAAGTACATTCTTTGAATTAGTTTACAATTTCCATTTAGGCTTAATGCTGTCGATTCTGAAATTCACACTGTTGTAGGAATGGTACCTCCAGTAAGGGATTTTGTGAAGAACTAACGAGGTGAGACTCTTTAATAACTTAATTTTGTATTCAGTGTTAGTAGCTTTATGTTACAAATATGAGAAAAGTAGAAGGGGAATCTTAAGACAACTCATGAGTTGGAGGATATAGATTACACTTGAAATTATTGAGTGTTGGAAACAGGAAAGAAAAATGGATCTTATTAACCCTTAATCTTCTTACAATAATTTGTTTTCCATATTTAAAAAAACTTACTTGAAAATTATATACTTGTAGGAACATAGTTTGACCATGATATTCAGCAATTGAACCTCTGACCCACTGACCCAGCCCTCTGACTTGGCTATCCAGTTCAGTTTTAATAACTGTGGATTTATATATGTGTATATGACCATCCAATATTGTAGCATTTTTTACATGTGGAAAACATCTACTTCCCTTTTAATCATTTTAGTACATCCCATTATGCTATGTCACCGTGCATATGTCAGATTATTTAATTTTATTGCCTGGAATAAAATAATTATTAGAGTGCCCCTACTTTCAATATAGTGACAGAAGTTCCATCCATACCAGGATGTGGCACACTGGTAGTTCTTTTTAACTTGTAGTGTAAATTATAACTTCCCTTGAGGTTAACAAAATTACATACGTGATAGAATTTAAATAAAAATTAAACCTTGCCTGTCAGTATTTATTTGTTAAATAGACAAAAATGTGGCAGGTGCAAAATCTCTTGATTACCCTCGATACATTTAATACTTCTTAATGAAAATCAACAAAAGTCAATATAAAATGAAAAAGCTAAAATTCCCCCATTAATACTTTTTTGCTCTTCTCATTTTCCTACTCTATGCTCTGTCTCCTTGTCAGACCCATAGCCACCGCCACAATAAACCCGGCCATGTTCTTCAACCTATCAGAAAAGCTGAGTCCAATATCACTGACAATCATTGCCATTCAAACTCAGACCCTGTTTCAGAATTATCTTACACTATTTGTTTGTATTAGTCTCGATCCTCGATTATTCTCTCCAAAATTTGCATTAGACCATCAGCCAAAATTTGCAGTTGGGAATTTGCTTAGCTGAAACTCTCATCCACTTGCTCTCTTCTGTCTTTGTAGCATCTCTCTACTCTCCAAACTCTCTCTCTCTCTCTCTCACAATCCCGTAACTCACTCTGTGACGCAACAAAACCTTCTCTAGCTTCATCACCGGCCAATCATAATGGCCTCTCTCCAATTCCTCAGGATGAACATTAAGATTGAACTTGAAATTAAGCCCCAGTGATTGAAGAGTAAAGAGAGAGAAAGATAGAGAGTGGATAATGAACAGTGATAGGAGTTGGGTACACCTTGCACAAATACTTGTTTGAATGCTGTTGAAACTGGAAGATGTAGGATAATTGTCTCCACAAGAAATGAGAATCATCATTGTCGTCGTTATTACCATCACAACCACATTACATGTCGTATACCGTGTAAAGTCGATTCTGGAACAGTTTCTCAGTGCCTTTTGACCTGAGCTTGGAAGGGAGCAATGAACCATGGGCAGAGGCATTTCTGGCTAGCATGCAGGCAAAATGGGAAAGATGTAAGCAAGTTTGGACGTCTTTGCAGATGGAGGTTAGCGGTTGTTATCCACAAGCAATCGTATTGTAGTAAACAGTAGCTAGTCCATCCCTCTAGCCATCTTGATTGATGAGGACCAACACCAGGTAATGGTCGTTAAGATTTTATTGTATTGAGAATAAAAGTTCAAAATTGTCAATCAAAAGACCACAGTTGTGGTTATCGAAAAGACGTTTGAGGTGGAATGTAATCATTCACATTAAAGTATAATAACATCAATCATAAATGATTCTTTCTATTATTGAACTCATATTTTACCAACACCCTATTTGCAACAATTGCTCATTTTTTATCATCACAATTGAGAAAAAGAAACAGGTCTCTTCACATAGACGAGGTTGTATGGCTGTACCTTTCAAATACTTTCGGTAGTAAAGGCTGTCATTTCGGTAGCATTGATGTCCATACCCACCCTACGTCGCATTTCAATATCCCTTTTTCATCTCATAGGTTCATCGGAGAAAAACTAGAACAATTATCAGCTATTTGCTAGAACTTGTTCTACTTTTGAATTAATGCAACTATTTGGCATGCAATTGACGTTAACTTGGCCAACATATACCAGACTTTACTAAGTTTCAAAGCTTCCATTTTCTATTTTGTTTATTATTTTCGTACCATTACTTTTTAATCTATTGTTTCAAATCTTCGTTTTAATATTAGAGACTTTTGCATTTTTCATTCATCAGCAAATCTTCATGTGGGCAGTTTTACCCTTTGAAGCAACCATTGAAGTTGAAAAGTAGACAAGGCACTTAATGCATCTCTGTTACACATTATTTGTGATTTTGTCAATGCTACACCTTTAGAAATGAGTAAATGATCAGGTCAATTATTAGGTGCCACACCACCCACCCATTTGGTTGGTCATTTGATCTAGAAAGTGCAACTTGACCAGAAGATACAACCAACCTTTCCTACAAAAGTTCTCTGGGTTGTTTGCCAGTTTTCTACATGACAATTCAAAGCAGTTGATTGAAGTTATTCATTTTTTTTTTATATAATATAATTGAATTTTCTTTCAGTTTTTGGATCAATAAGAAGTCAAATTTTTCGATTAGATACGATTACTTCCAGAGTTGTCAAAGTTTATATTTATGGTGCACGTATTATGATTCATATCAATTTTGATTAATTGTGTAACTAGCGTGTAGATTGAACATTTGACTGGTGAAAACATGCACCTTTTGCAATGGCTGCAATTTCTGGTATGGTTAATAGCTTGTTTGGCTTTACAAATGCAAAAAGATGCAATGTCTTCTTGTTTGACAGAAAAGTTGGTTAGCATACATGACCGTTTTACCACTACTCTCCCATCATCTCTAAAAAAAAAAAAATTCTTTTTCTCTTTTTTGGTCTTTATATGTATGAATAATCTATAAAGTTTCTTGATTGATGAATAAACGAAAGGTGTACTTTGTTAGGAATAGATTTGAAGGAACTCCAACATAATCTATTTCTCCTAGCTCTTGCAAGTTAGGATGTCAAAATCACACATGCTACATAGTAAATAACCTGTGAAAGAGACATGAAGCCTCTGTGAAAGGGACATTAATGGAGTTACAGCACGCTCATTTGAGATAAGCTTTAAAATTTTCTTCTACTGTTTTTTTTTTTAAATAAAAAACAAAATAAAATTTAATATCACAATTTGTAAAATAAAAAGAACCGTAATTTTTTTTTTTTATTTATACTTTTCATGTTTGGCTTTTGTTTAAGTCGAAATTGAGGTCGAAATAAAATAATTTACCAAAAATTAATGGATAAATTATTTTTGTAAAATTTAAATATATTTTCTCTTCGTAAATATTTTATGACAACCAAACAATAGAAAATAAAAAAATATTTTTTGTAAAATATTTTACATCTAAACAAACCCGAAATGTAAGCAAAAGTAAAAAAGCCTTCACGCTTTGGCCTCCCTGATGGAAACAAAAAGAGAGTTCCTGATAAAAAGGAAGGGAAAGCAACAAAGAAGGGAAGAGTACAATCATCTTAGACACAGAATTTGTTTCCTTCACGGAAAGGAAAGGAGAAAGAATTCCTTCTTTTTAAACTGGCTCACCTTTTATAAATTGCAAAGTCATGGTGGTCAATGAAGCAACACTCCTTTCTTTTCCCTTTCTTACCAAAAAAAACAAATAAATCGGGATAAAGATTAAAATCATGAGACACAAATTCATGGAAGGAAAAGATGAAGTCGTCGCTGGGTGAATGAATCAAACACTCCCTTCTTACCCAAAAAAACAAATAAATAGTGATAAAAAAAAAAATTAAAAATTATTATTATTTTTTATAACAAAGACGACTTTCTACCTTACTTTAAATAACCTATTTAATAAAAAAATGTACTTTGCTAAAATGAGTGAAATGAAAGAGAGAGAACACCTTTTGTTGCCTTTCTTTCGCGGCATAAACATTCACAAGCATTATTATTAATTTATTTATTAATAATAAAGCACAAGTTGTTCACCATTACAAGCCACAGATGAAATAGAAATTGAAAATGAAAATTGAGATTGGACTTAATTTACTTGAACTGCGAACAACTCTTCCAAAATAAACCAAAACTAAGACTAAAAAGAAGAGAGAAGGGAAAGTTCTCTATTGCCCTTTAATAAAGGTGAGGACTTCAGATTCAGTAGGAAGAGCAGGGATTGCTCCTTTCTTGGTGGTTGTGATGGCTCCACATGCATTTGCAAACTTCAGCACTTCCCTCAACTTTGCTTCATCCTGCATTTCCATTTCCAAACACAAATATGGCATTAGGGTTTACCATATCCTTCACTGTATATCTAATAATCACATTTTCTTAAGGAAAAAAATAGAAGGCAAAGTACTTGCCTCGAGCACGGATCGATCATCGACAATCTTGCAGAGGAGGGCACCGATAAATGAGTCACCTGCACCGGTAGTATCCACCGCTTTGACATGGAACGCATCCACGCTTCCACGGAAGTTCTGCATTTATGGAAACAGGGAAACTAATGAGAATTATATAAACTTGTTTGAGAAAACAGTTTCTTCCATCTGTTAACATACAATGTCTGATTATTTTGAATATACACATTATCAAAAGATGTATATACAAAACAGGGCACGAAAAATATGGTGCAATTTGATGTTCTAAGTTCCAAGATGATATAGGAGGTGCATCCATTTCAACATTTCAATACTGCTTCTTCTATAAGAATGAGATCAACGAACGAAAATTTGATAGAATTTTTTAAATGGTAAAATGAACTTACATCATAAACACTGTTTGATCAAGCTTAATCTAATATGAAGTACACTGCAAATCAACATGGTTTTGATGACTTCTAATAAATTGAAAATTGATTTGCAAAATATACAAATTTTGTTTTTCTTTTTTAATATCATCTGGTAAATTTCGAATAAAGTTACCTTAGTGTAATATTTGCAACCCTTTTCACCAAGGGTGACAAGGAGGAGCTTCAAACCAGGGTGCCACAGTGACATTGCAGACTCGTCATCAATCTTGTTGCTCCCGGTGAGGAATTCCAGCTCGTTGTCGCTGACCTTGATCAGCTCTGCCTTGTTCCAGATGCTCTTGATCTGCTTACGTGCCTCATCAGCCGAGGGCCACAGTGGTAGCCGGAGGTTGGGGTCATACGAGAGTAGTGCCCCGGCCTCCTTTGCCACCTCCATTGCCTTTAAATGTGCCGATCTGCATGGCTCCACGATCAAGCTTATTGATCCGTAGTGGAAAACTTTAGCCTGCAATGGTAGTGTTGAATCAAACTTATGAATGAACAACAACGAAATAACTTAAACTCTCTAATGTAACAGAACAATCGGAATTCTATCAAATTCAAATAGCAATTTGAACCAATCCTTGCTAGTCTTTTTCGGTTTGGAGTCTATTTGTACTACGACCCTTTAGACAGTGTTCGAGGTCTGGAATCTTAAGAACAACCGAAATTCGTTGAATGACAGATGATCATGGACTACCCTTGTTAGGCAACCAGAATTTTGATTCCAATACTGTTAAAATTGATGTGTAGGACTGTTGTGTTCAATAACAAAATATTATAAATAAATAAAATGTATTCTTGTACATATATATGGTATATTGATTTTAGGAAAATCTTGGACTGGTATGTGAAAAACAAAATATACAATCAAATTCCACACTTTTTGTTTTATTATTATTATTATTATTATTTATCTTTGATAAGTCAAATTCCAACTCAGAAATCCGAAAAGTATATCTGTACTCAACTCTAAATAATTTAAATAAAACTTTCTAGAGTTTTGATCTTGCATTGTTGAATTAAGAGATTGACACATTTATTACTTTATCTCAAAAAAAAAAAAGTTCTTTTCATGCCATCCAAAAATCTAAATATGTTCTAAAAAAATATAAATTTTTTTCTCATTTTCCCCTATTTCTATCTAACCAAACAAGCATAATAGTTTAGACAAAAGTGGAGTACAAAAACAAAAACAAAAACAAAAACAAAAACAAAAACAAAAACAAACATTTTGTAATTTTTTGGGGAGTTCATCGTTATCGAATTAAATTTCTAAATTTTTATTTTATTTTATGTTATTTTTTAAAAAAAAGTACAGTATATTCAATGGAACCCACGTGGGACACTTTGCCGACAACAAGAGTTGCTGGCACTAATACTTAAATTATCTACAAAATTTCAGAATTCCATAATTATCGTGGTAAATAAGTAATTACTTGCATATTCAGGTATATTGCATGGGACCCACAATTTAAGATTTCTATAATCATCGGTGGGCCCAAGTCCTTGACAATTTGGCCACATTTTTCTGGTGATCTCACCAGAGATCGGGTGAAGGCGCGTGTGATTCACATACTTGTACAATTGTAATCCATTATTTCTAGAGAGAGAAACAAAACAGTATCAAAGAGAGATGGAGGATTGATTGATTGATTGACGATGCACTTACAGATCTAATAAGGTCGAGGTTCAGTTCGCCGGGCGTCAAGAGCATGTCGGCGCTAGGGTTCCGGTAGAACATGAACTCCCGCTCTCCGTCGGCGCGCAGAGTCACGAACGCCAGCGCCGTCCGAGCCCCCTTGTCGAACGTGATCCCGTCGCCGTTGACGCCGTTCTCCTTCAAGATCCCGGCCAGCATGAGCCCGAACTCGTCGTCGCCGAGCTTCCCGGAGAACGCCGCCTTCCCGCCGAGCCTCGCGACGGCGATCGCCACGTTGGCCGGAGCCCCTCCGGGCGCCTTCAGGAACCCCGGCGCCTCCGCCAGCGACACGCCGGACACCGTCGGCACGAAATCGATCAGCATCTCGCCGAAGCTCAAGATCAATCCCCCAGAAGAAACTCCATTAGTCACAGCCATTAGTGTCAGTTAGAGAGAGAAACAAAAAACAAGCTCTGAATAGCTATGTAGAGAGAGAAAGTAGATTATGAGAGAAGGGGAGACCTTGAAGGCCTTATTATAGAGAGAAAGTAGAACCGTAATACGAGTAAATGATTATTATTATAGAGAGAGAAAACGTAATAAAAGCGATTAACAAATCCGAAGATAATCCAGAAATTATCGGTCTATTTTTCAGTGTGAGTATGATTGCGATAGATATAGTTTTTTATCTTATTTACACGTAGTCAGAGATTTTTGTAGTTTGTTGTACATATTGTTAAAATAAATTAAATATCTCTAACAATGTGTGATTTGTATCTATCCTTTGGAAAATTATTTCGTATATATGTATTTGTGTGTATTATAATTATATATATATATATATATATATATATCATTATATAGAGATGTCTAGTCTATCCATCCTTTTCCTGGAAATTTATTTTTGTATTTGTCATATATGTATTTTTTTGTATCTATATATAATCATATAATCTATACTAATCTAGAGAGAGAGAGTGTCTCACAGTGGGTGGAAAAAGTTGAATATAATAAAATAACTTGTTATATTCAATGGATTTACAGTGAAAAACGGTGGACAAGTTGGTTTTAAATATGTGGTAAATAGTGCTTTGTTTGGTTGGTGGATTCGGTGAGACCGGTTCAGTCTTAAACTGGGTGATTCGGGTTGAGCCGGATTGACTATATATATATATATATATATATATTCCAAAAGGGGAAGCCGTACTTCGCTTTTTACTAAACTAGGCTTGTAATGGACTCAATTTATGAAAAAGATGAAAACAAAAAAATGTATTGAGCTTTAATCCAGATTGGATTCGAATCTGATTCAATGATTCATGTCTGTGGGACTAATGGGGTAGTTAAATAATGATAATTCATAGCCAATAATAATTAAATTTAACAACAATATATTAGATTTTTTTTTGATAAGTTACAACAATATATTTGATAATATGTTAAATATACATTTTAAAATTTTAATATAATAGAATAATTCGTATAAGGAGAGATTATGTTCTACACATTAACGTGTCTCAATAAAAAGTTAACACATACTTCTTCTTCTTCTTTTTTCTCTCTTTGCCTCCATCTATATATCTCACTCACATGGTCATCCATAGCCTTCTTTTCCCTTAGCTATCAATCATTTCAAATTCTAATATTTCCTACAGACCTCCACTTTTTAGAATAATAAAAATTCTTTTAATTCTGAAATAGTTTTATATGGTTTTTTAGAATCATATTTAAAAAAAAAAAATCTGAAATAGTTTTAAAATTACTCAACTTTGAATGTATATTCTTTTAATTCTGTTTCTAGATAACAACTCAAAGAAAATTGTCTTTCCTACCTTTTTGTTATTTTTAATTTTCTTAAAATAAAAAATTATCCTTAAAAATATTGAACTAACCATTTCTATTTCTCCCTTTTCAAAATCTACCTCAAATATTTTTTATGCATGCTATATATGAAAGTTATTCCTTTTTTCACTCAATTCTATAGCGGAATGATTGAAAAAGAAATATGTAGACGAATATGTGAGCGAGATACATATATGGGAGCAAAGAGAGGGAAAAATAGATCTCTCGTTATTTAACTCTAAAAATGGGTATAACTCATTGTTTTATATTTTTTAAGCTTAAAAGAGATGTCAACTTCTTCACAATTAATATATAATATTTATATATTATCAAAATACTCGTACTATCATTATTATTGGAGTAGTGATACTCACACACAACACTTGAATTGAATTGGCTATTTATACCAAATATAACTAAGTGAATGGCTCGGGCTCCACCTAGCTATTTATATCAAATATAACTAAATTAAGGGTTCCACTGGGCTATTTATTACCTAATTGACCAATTAAAAAAATAAGTCTAACAATTGCCTAAAACTATTTGATGAAAGAATCATTTTCTTTATTAAATATATATTTCAAAACTTGTGAACAACAATTGTACTTCATGAAAGCATCAACTAATATTTTTATTCATGATGGTAGTTGATATATATATATATATATATATATATATATATATATTTACCTAATTGTTGTTCAAGATGGTCTTATACTTTTATGAAATTGTTGTGATTTTAAAAGTCACGATCAAAAATATTATATTCTACGTGGCATGATACTTTTAAAAAAAACAAGTTGTGATACGCATGCATCATTGCACAAATATAATAACCATTAAAGGTGAGTAGAATAATTCAAAAATATTAGTTTTTTATTTTTATTTTTTTTCTTCTTCTTTGGATGATCTGTTATATTTTCATAATGTTGCTCTCTCAAATTACATACCATAAATTATGTAATGAACAGAAAGAAGACAAAAGTATTATTAGTAATGAATACGTTAGGGTTTTGATGATATATTATATTAAAAACTTTAGAATTTGTTTGGTAAAAATATTATTTAAAGTATTTTTATTGCTAATTTTATAATAATGTCCTTTATTAGTGTTACTATATTTATCACATTCCTTCCAAAAATAAAGAAGAAAAAAATAGACACTTTCTCCTTATATTATTTGTTGTATATAACATTTCACTTTTCAAAATTTATATAGAAATTATAAAAATGTTACCTTAAATCAAATGCCACTGAATGCCCCTTACCCATAAAAATACCCATTGTTACGTTAATAATAATAATAATAATAATAATAAAATCAGGGGATGCATCAGCACCGTTTAATTTATTTTGCATTTTATACCTACATTTTTAAGTTTCCAGTGATTTTCTCTTCATTATACTTACTGTAAGGGTAGCATGGGATGCCTAATTGATTAAAAAGTCCGTTTATCTTATGGGTGGGAAAATAATCCGTGAAACCAATGAAATTGGATTACAATACCCGTGAATTAGTGACGGATTCAAAAAAATTGAATCTGTAACTCACAGATCGGATCACGAATTGGACTGTTAAAATCGTATCCGATCTATGAACTTGGTATGATCCAATCCTTGAAATTTATATATACAAAAATTAAAATTTTATCTATTAACCTATTGTTAAAAAATAAATAATGTTGGATTGTTTGTTTGTCTTACTTCAAGTATTAGACATGGACCCTTCTAAAATGTGACATGCTATGTAAAGATACCATCACCACCTTATCAGTCGCTATTTTTGAATTTAAAAATTGGAAGGATTTGTTTGGCGTTCTTGTTAGAATGAAAAAAGTGATTTTGTAAAATTAGTAAACAACATGTTAATTGTTTGGTAATGCTTCTTAATATATTTTGTTACAATATTATTTAAAATATTTTTATTATTAATTTTACAATAATATTCTTTAATAGTGTTATTATATTTAATAATGTTACTCAAAAATTTTGATTGGTTATTTATGCACCGTACAAATAAGTAGAGAGTCCACTCTTATTTATTGCATAGGTGTGGACCAATTAAAATAAAGTAGATAATTAATAATTTTTAATTGGCTATCTATACCCAATACAACTAAGTGGAGGACTCTATTTTCTTATTTGTTGCATAATTGACCAATTAAAATAGTAAGTCTAACAATTCATTATAACAATTCGGGAAGAATCATTTTCCATTACAATAAGTATGTCCGACAATTTATTGCAACAAATCAGTGCAAGAATGAATTTATCTTTATAAAAAAAGTAGTGATACTCACATTGTGAATGAATTTGTCTTTATAAAAAAAGTAGTGATACTCACATTGTGAATACTTGCAGTGAATTGCCTAATTAAATAATTTTTAATTGAATATTTATACCAAATAAAACTAAGTAGAGGCTCTACTTCCTTATTTGTTGCATAATTAACCAATTAAAATAGTAGGTACTAGCAATTACTACAACTATTCGATGCAAGAATCATTTTACTATAAAAAAATATATATAAAAAAAAGAATAGTATTGTCTAACTGAGAAAAATAATTACCTAAAATATAGAACCAAATTAAAATTAAAATTTCTTTTAAAAGATTTACTAATCTAAGATTTATGCCATTTAAAAGTATTTTTATTGGTTACCAAACACAATTAAAAACAAAATTTTTAATTGACTCTGGTTTCCTTTAAAAAAAAATTGGTTATTATGTGCTAAAAATGAAGGTTATGTAATTCGGAATGGAGTACTTAATACTATGTATTATATAATAGATATTTGTTGTCCCTGTTGTTCTGATCAGGGTGAGAATAATTTGAAACCCTACTTCTGCTTTTACCATCTACTTCAGATGCATGACTAATGTTAACATCTAGTAGAAACATAGTGTGAGTGTAACATACCAACTAAAACAACAATATTATCTACAATATTATTTTTTTCCCTTGCAAAGGGAATTCGGACATGTGCACACTTATTTGGGAAATTGTACCTGAGTAATGTCATGGTTTCCCTCAAATGGCTAAGGGTTATGGGCCAAATGGGTTTCTCTTTGGGCCAATGTGACTGCATTAATTATCTTAGACTCATTGGTTTGATTTTGGTTTGCTGATTGTTGGGCCTACTGTCTTGCTGTGTTGGGCCTAGGGTATGGCCCCAGGTAATTTTGTAAATATTTTTCTTTTATATCATGCTTATTTACTCAAAAAAAAAAAAAAAAAAAAAAAAAAAAAATGATACTCTCTCTCTCTCTCTCTCTCTCTCTCTCTCTCTCTATATATAACTTGGCTCAATGGGAGCAAGTCTAATAACAAATTTTACTAATGAATCAAATGAATACAGATATAAATATACACCTTATAATTATCAGGTTTTGTTTAGAATGTTTTGGTTCTTTTTACTTTTAAAATGTTACAAAAACCAACATCATTTTACCTTTAAAATGTCTTGGTTTTAGTAACTGGGTGTAACAGTTGGGAGGCAAATCCACCCATTTATATCCAATTACCTTTTCATTTGATGTGGGACAAATGACCCTTGTTATATTCTTTCCTACCCAAACTTGCAATACCTTCATTCCGGCTCGGGCCACCCTGTCTACCTTGGGTGCTTACCCGGACACCTTTTGGAACTGTAATTGTTGGGCGCTTGCCCATTACCCATAAGTTCAAGCTGTTGAGTAGTGCTGCATATCCACATATTTATACCCAATCATTTTTCCTTCCAGATCAGATGTGGAACAAATGACCCTTGTTACACTAGGCCATTTAATTGTCATCAATTTCTCTTATAATGTTTTTTTTTATTTTATTTTTTATTCGACACAGCTGATACGACATGAATACAACAAAAATACGTTTTGAAAGTGGGTGGTTTTGTTATTATTATTTGAATAAAGGGATTCAATGAATTAAAAAATATGTTATGAATTAATTAGAAAAATAATATACAAACTAAGAAAACAAAATTAACAAACATTCATGTGTCGTGTCGTACCTAAAAGTTATAATATATCTTATATTAATATTTTTTGACATATTTTTTCCCTCTATTTTTTTTTTTATGTATTCATGTGTCCTATATTTATATATATTTAGATTTCTTGTATTATCGTGTAGTATCTTATCATGTTCTATATCTATATATGTACTTCCTATACACGAGCTCTAGGTAAAGAGAAGGAATCAAATTTCAACAAGCTAAGTGAACCCTAGTCAATATTTCAATGTCGAATGCTTTTTACCTTCTCTTGTGCAGTGCACAAAATGTGATCCAATTTCGAGATCACCACGATTAAATAATTTATTTTCAAATTTATTAAATCATAATTAAAATTTCATCTAATTAGACTCTATCTGCACTAGCTCATTCAAAGGAAAAAGTGTGCGACTTTCTAAATTTCTGTGGTTAGGAATAGAAAAATATAAAATGATTAATTCTTAAGCCGATTCTTTGGGCACCATGGGCCTATTGTTCCAACACTTTTGTAATGATTCTCCTTGGGCCTACTTTTGGCTCCATTGGGCTTTCTCCGTCGGCTTAAGCTGAATCCAAATGGTATTACAGTTTAATACCATTTGTTTATCTTTCCAAATAATAATAATAATAATAATAATAAAGGTGAGGATAACTTGCCAACAATGATTACAATATTATTTTGTTAACATATCTGTGTAAATGAGGTTAGGACAAGAAAATAATGTGAGGTAAGTCAATGATAACAAATTTTACTAACAAACTAAATGAAGATAACGTATTAGATTTGTTTGGTTTGTAATTTTAAAAATATTGTACAAAAATTGTGTTTGATTTAATTTTTTTTAAAAAAAATTTAATTATAAAAATATATGTTTTCAAAGATAGTTTTCTGAAATAATTTATGTATTTTATGAATTCTTAAAAATTGTTAAGAGTTGCGATTTACAAAACAAGTTGGTGCTATATTAATCATCTTCATTGTTACTTTTTATCTCTTATAAACATAATCTAACTTTTCTATTCGTTATCATCATTGTTATTTTTTATCTCAGTAAGTATTACTCCCTCCGTCTTAAAATAGATATTTGGAGAGTAAATTTTTTTTAAGAGTACATGCAGTTAATGCATGTTCCTTTCAAATTTACTATATCATCGTGTGAATATATATAATAAAATTTGAATATTTTTAGTACAAATATTTTGAGACGGTTAAAAAATGAAAGATTGACAACTAAATTAGTAAGGAGAGAGTAATAACTATCAAATCTTGTTTAGAAAGGTTTCCTTCTCAAAATAAAAATAAATAAATAAATAAAATATCATCAAGCCAATATAAAAGCTGTCCAGCCTGTCCATGACCTAAGTTCGTTAGTTTGAATAATTGCCGGTGAAATGGAGGGTAAAACTGAAATCATATTGAGACATAGCGGGGTAATTTGGCTAATTCTTTTAGCTTAGCGGTACAAAGTAATTTACCGAAAAATAAATCATATTGCGTTCCAAGAAGTGAGCACCGAACACTAGGCTCATGTCCACACAATCACCACTCAAAAACCCAAAATCCCTTCACTCTTCATCTCTCTCTCTCTCTCAAGGAAGATCTCTGTGTTTTCCACACACATCGAGCCAAGTAAGTTGGGTTTACCCTCTAATTTTTCCGATTAATTATCATTCTATCCATGAGTTTTTCTTGTGTTTTCTTGAGTTTATAGTCAACATATGCTATAACAGTCGTTAGATGCATTTTTTTGCTCTGAAGCTCATCGACCGAATTGAAATACTGTATAGATAGTGAAAATAGAACTCGAATCATTATGGGTTCAATCATGCTTAAATTTTTTATTTTTTATTTTTGAAGATTTTGCTGTTGCCTTTTGTTTTCTTATTGTTCATCTTATGTCAATGCTTCACAATTTCAAAACTTTGACACACTGAATTAAAGAAATACTGTATAGATAGCGAAACCAGAACTTGAATCATTATGGGTTCAATCGTGCTTGATTTGTTTCTCGAAGATTTCGCTGTTGCCTTTTGTTTTCTTATTGTTTATCTTCTGTCAATGCTTAAAAATTTCAAAAATTTGTCTGAAATTAAAATTATGTGAATTTGGCCAAATGGTTCACTACCATTTGGTGGTTTCGCTTGACAAGCTCTATGTGGCTCCAAATCAATGAACATATGATGCTGTTGAAGTCACCAGCTGTTTGTAAAATTGGGTGTGAGAAATAATTGCTTTTTCTACCTTCAACTTAATTTCTACATGTTCTGATAAGAACGGCACACACTCACTCGCATCCCAAGTGGCATTTCAGCATTGCAACTTTCCGTTTTGAGTGGGCATGAAATACCAATCAGGCAAATAGTTGGTCTCCTTTCCCCTAGGGGGAGGCCCCGGAATTTTTAATTGCAGGGGCCAAATTATTGCTATGAAAATAAAATTTTAAAATGTGCAAAGTGTAATAGGTTTCTTTTCAAAAGAATTTTGGTGATAAGATTATTTATAAATCAAAAGTTTTTCAGTGAAAATGCAAAATGTATCAGGAATAGAAATTATATCTGAAACTTATTAAGCTTTCCTTCAAATTGTTTACTTCCAAAAATAAGGCCTAAAAGGACTTAAAATTGTGATTATATATACACACACATTTTTTATTTCTTAAAATTGGGGTTATTTAAGCTTTCCTTTAAATTACTATTTAATATTTTCAGGGAAACTAAACTTTCCCATATTTATATTTATATATGTATTACATATACATACATATGCATATGCGCATTTGTTTATGTAATTATAATATGTATATATCGATATTTAAGTAATTATTTACATGTGTTTATGTATGTGTTTGACTCTTGGTGCATGATTTGATTTTTGCTGAAAAACAGAAGAAAGAAAGACATTAAAACTTGGAATCTAGAAATTCAGCTGCTTTAGTTCACGTAACGAAGAAATGAAAAATTAAATAATAAAATGAAAGCCAACTTGTAGTAAACATTCAACAGTTCACTCTAGAAACATGCAACAGAAAATTTAATGAAAAAAAACCTTGGAATTTATTCCTTCTCTCTACTCAGCCAAAGACTGATTCTTTCTTTCTTTCTTTTGTTTTTTTTTTTTTGTTTTTTGTTTTTTGTTTTTTGTTTAATGCTTATAATCGAGTTCATTTCCAAGATAAAGAAAACTCTTGGATGGGTTCATGAGTTTAAAAAACATTGTGTTATTTGGCAGTGGATTTGGTATTGAGATCTGAAGCAGTAGAGAATTCTGGAGGGGAGTTGATGGCATGTGAAGGGCTCTCAACTGTAGAACCAGAAGAGGGTATGGAGTTTGACTCTGAAGATGCTGCCAAGGTATTCTACGATGAATATGCTAGGCGGACAGGATTTGTCATGCGCGTGATGTCATGTCGTCGATCAGAGGTTGATGGGAGGATTCTTTCCCGTCGACTTGGATGCAATAAGGAGGGTTATTGTGTGAGTATTCGAGGTAAATTCGGGCCTGTTAGGAAGCCACGACCAAGCACAAGGGAAGGATGTAAAGCTATGATTCTAGTTAAGTCAAACAAATCCGGAAAATGGGTCATCACAAAATTTGTTAAGGATCATAATCATCCACTTGTGATATCCCCTCGTGAAGTTCGTCACTTTATGGTTAGTTTGTTTAAACTCGTTTAACTGTGAAGTGGAGAATGTTTTTCGATTTCTCATTCTTCGAATTTTATACTTAACCAGGCCTTATTTACTTCTATCTGTTCTTGATTTTTGAAGCACATATATTTGGTTTTGTACTACCATTTTCTTTAATTTTTCTGGCTGATATCTTGAATTTAATTGCTTATATTTTACTCTCAAAGAAAAATTGATGATTCAGTGTTCATATCTTATACACTACCCTTTAATATCAAATACTCAAACCTGCTTAACTATAACGCCTTTGGTGAATGTTACTCTATTGATTTTATTTTTTTATACTTATTTATCATTATATACCCAATCCAGTGTAAATGGTATACTTTCTGGTCAATATAATTTCCTCCATTAGTGGGCCTACTTCTTTATAACTTGAACACATGAAGGGTTTGATAGGCTCTTTTCCCCAATTCTAGGTAAACAGGAATTGAAGAGTTGAGCAAAAGAAGCCCAGGAGATTTATTTTTTTATTTGCGCTTAGAGGACCCCAGCTTAATGGATGAAACTCTTAGTTTGTTCCTCTTTTAATTTGACGCATGAGAACTATTTGGCTGTAGATTAGTGACAATTGTTTTAAGGATGTACATGCAGGACATCCTAAGTGTCAATTTGAGTGAGTTAGTGGGTTGCCTCTTCAATAGGTATCTTGCAGGATTACAATGCATCTGAGGATATTTGCTGTGGACTTTTCTTATCGTTGACTTTGTAGTGGATGGATCAGACAAAGGATATGAAGAATTGAGAACAGTTTCTTAGTCAACTAGATCATTCTTTTCAGCAGCACTCGCCATTGGAGTAATCAATCTGGATTGATTTGTCTTCTAGCTTCCTGTCAAGGTAAGACCAGTGGAAGACAACTGTGAGGGTGCATGGACACTAGTGGAGATAGGTTTTATGGGTGGATAGATACAATTTGAACTCCATCAACTTTTAATGGGTTCAAACATTAAAAGTCATGTGTGAAAAATTGCATGGTCAAATTGGGTGCAATTTCTTTTATATCTCCAGAAATGGGTCCGCAATGGATGCTAGGGGATAGTGGAGCTGCTGGTAATATGCGAAGAAGTGGGAATATATGGGGTTGATGGATCAAGATGGAGGATTTATATCTGAAAGCCAGGCATAGTGGAATTGCTGGCCATATGTGCAATACGGCATAAATGGGTGAGGATGGAGGATTTATGTCTCTGAAAGCCTTGCCTAAGTGTCATGAAAACCACCCTTTCTGGGTGGTGGGTGCCATATAGTTCACTCTGATAAGGACAGAAGGGTCACTGCAGATGCTAGGCCACCAATATGTATTTTGAATCTTATTGGCATGGCTATCTAGGTGGAAAGGCAGCCCATTGGGACTAGTGGCCCCATCAGTTTGCAGCCCTTCTTAAAAACTTGTTTAGGTAATAACCAGAGTGACACAAAAGGATAACGTCTTCTGGAGTTACAAATCTTGGCTAATGCCACTGTCTATGTAACTGTGTACTTGAGCTTTGCTTAGTGCAACCTCCGTAGGCTTGGCACAGGTGTTAATTCATTCCGGCAATGCCTAACAAAGGCTTAGATTCTATGGAGAGTTATGACCGAGAGATGATATGACATGGAACTAGATGGTCTTGGACAGGCCATCACAGTGTGATAGAACCTTAGGGGTCACAGGAATATTGGTTATTCGGTGAGGTTTTACCTGGAAACTCCGAGAGGAAGGGAGAGAGTCTAAGTCTTATGTGTCCAAACCGAGGCAATCCCTCCATCTAGGGATAGGACTGCTGACCTGTGTTAATTTTAATCCTTCCTTTGGAGTTACAGCTTTAGTGACTTTGATGTGATGAAGACCGAGGAATCATTTTGGGTGCAAAGGATAGTCCTTTAGGGCTGAAATGAAAAAATATTTTACTGACTTGATATTTTTTTATTTTGGTTGAGGAAGTGTCTTTTATATTTATACATTTTGGGAGTCATTTAGGTTTTTCATATAGTTTAGTTTTTGGTTTATTTTATTTTGAAAATGTTTGGTGCGCTCAAATAATTTGATTTAGTTTCTGTGGGGGTGTGGGATTGGGTATTGGTATAATGGATTTTCTTTGGATTGGATATGATTTTTTAGGGTCCGTGTTATTACGATGTTACTTTTACTTAGTATTGAAGAAACTTGAGGCCAAATAATATAGAAATCAAGTAAGCTTTAATTTTAATAGTTGTTATCTTTCTCTCATAAACCTCTTTGCGCTCACTATCTTCCAACTCACATCTAGTTCATCTCCTCCTTTTCAGTCATTAATATATCATTTTTGCCATCTCAATCTTTCTCCAAGGCTAAATGAGAAGAGAGAATTATTGAAGTAATCTTTCAGTGATCTATTCTCGACCCTAAGCCATTATGCAAAAATCCTTAATCCTCTTTTTTCTCCCCATCTCTCTTTTTCTGCAAAAGAGAAATTCTACTTTAGATTGCAAAATAAAGGATAAGGATTTTGTTAACATTGATAAATTGGTTTTTGTGGATTGGTTGTTCAAATAATGAAATCCAAGATAGAGTCTTGCAATTCATTAGGACCATTTCATATATCAAAGAAAGTTTTAATGCAATGCTTTCAAAACACAAAACTTAATCAAGGGCAAGTATAAATATACTGAATAAAAAAATTATCTAGTAACATTTAAGTTTTTGTATTTATTATTTTGGTAAAAGAATTAATCTCGACATTCTTCAATGTAATTCCTGCTAAATTAAATTCTTGGCTCCATCACTGATCATAACCCTCCATTTTTACTTGAATTGTGAAACAAAAGTTGGTGTAAAGTATCAAGCTTCCTCTCCTGAAGAGATTAATCTATTTGAAGTAGCAAATGAGAGTAAAGAGAGAAGTGAAAACCTAGCTGCTGCAAGTGCATCATCGTGGACACATCAAACCTTGGTCACTGTTGTTTGATGCTCACGAGTCATTGCTGCTGTATGGTTTGACCCTCACCTGTCACCACGCCTTTATCATGAAGTTGGAAGATTTGCACGGCATGTGTTATGAGATTATAAATAGATGCGTGAGGAAGATTAGGGAGGTATCGCCGTCATTATGTCGCTTCATGCCTTTGTGAACAAAAGGCCAACTGAAGTGCCTGTTGTTTTGCGGATGTTTTACTTGTGTGCAAGGAGACAACCTTGAGGGGCTGTTACGGACAATAATATTAAAGCTCTTAATCTGGAATATCTTTTTCTTTGCTCTCTTGTTCCAACCTGTTTAACTTTGCAACTATAGTTGCAGATACGAAATCTTGTGTAAATCTTGTTTGAGGACCAATAATTATGAGAGAAACATGCTGATTTAGATTTGAGTTTCTTGCTGATCTAATGTTTTTACGAATTTGATGTTATTTAGGGAAATCTTCTTTAGGGAAATCTGTGTTTCTGATGTTATTTAACAAACCCAAACCCGACCGGGGTCGGGTTACGCTCGGTCATGGACATGAGAATTATATGCTTCTAGTTGAGCTCAGATTGACTCTCCAAGCCGGCCAACTGGCTTGAGTTGCATGCTAACTTCTTTACTTGTTTCTTTCTTTCTGCTTAGGGCTTGATCTAGTGTCCAACCCTGTGGTTTTCAAGTCATTTTTGCTGGAAACCGTGGAAAGATACTCTAAAATCATGTTTGTCTAATCAGATTATTGCAAGTCTTTGCCTTGATTTGAGTGACAATGTGGTCTGCCGGTACTTGTAGACATTTAAGTTTTTTCCTGGCTACGTCAAACTTTTAGAAAGGGGACTAAACAGGAACAACAGGAATCCACCTAAGGCGGCAAGTGTCGTGCCGATAAATGTAAATCTGATCAAGCATTACCATGGGATCCAAATTCCCCATCTCCTGAAAGTTTTGGCCTGTTCGGCAGTATAGGAAGCTCGAGAGAACTAGGACTCCTGCTCACATTTTGTACGACTTTCTGATAGTGAACCTGCCTGGACTAGCCAGGGGGCCAACGTCAATCTCAAAGGAGAGCTCAAACTAGGTGGATATACCCTATTTTACATATTTTGGACCTGATGACTCAGTTGAAAGACTAGAATTGTTGAAAGTAGTCAACTTTGAGGTTTTGGATTTTTTTGGGGCGGTATAGTGGTTGAATGTAGAACTCCTGATGATCAGTTATATTTACCAAATTATACAATTTTGATACCTAGATTTAAATGATCACATTCACAACTTCGTGTGCCTGCGGTCAGACGGTCAAACTCTTTGGTTAACTGGATTTTAAAATATTGTATCAGGCCAATGCATATCAATTTTTTTTTTTTTTTCCCTGATGGAATTCGGTTTACTAGCCATAAAGCATGCATGCTACACTGAACGTGAAGATGTGTGCAGAGAGACACGCCCTGTATACAAGCAAAAATCATTCACACAGATACACATGATGTATGCATGTCTGCCTGCCTGTGTATGCGTAGGTTTTATGAGTATATTCATGGTTTCCTTTACTTGCTCTTCTCAACTAGTATGTGAATATATTTAACAATTTCTTATCCAATCAAGTATATGTTTCATGTACTTGTTTATAGGATGAGAAGGATAAGAAAATTCAGGAGCTAACTGCAGAGCTACGGAACAAAAAACGGTTGTGCGCGGTTTATCAAGAACAGTTGTCGTCGTTTATGAAAGAGGTTGAGGAGCACACTAACCAGTTATCAAAGAAGGTTCAAGTTGTAGTCAACAATTTAAAGGAATTTGATCCTATAGACAAGGAGCTTTCACATAGTAGATAGCCCCAGCAATATGGTGAGTATTTCATTATCATTCTTTGGATTGGTTAGCATGCACATTAATTCCTTTTCTGCATGTTCACTATTTTGCCATCTAAGTTTAGGTTTCTAGAGAAGTCTTATGCCATAACCTTCTTCAAAACTTGTGTATTTGGTGTTTCATTCACTGTTGGGGTGGAGAAATTTAGTGAAATGTAATCAAGGGTCATAATTCAGTTGTTGTTTTTCCCCTCCCCCTCTGTACAACCTCATTTTGACCCATATTTGAAGAATTTGAAAAATCATCTGTCATTAAATGTCTTAAATTTTATTTGGCAAGTTGCTTTTTGACAAGTCAGTTTGTGTGTATAAATATGTATGTATATACATATATATATATACACGTTTACCAATAAAGTGTCTGTAAGACTTTAAAAAATGGGTAAATTATATCCGGGTAGACCGTTGAGCATTTATTACTTTGACCTTCCTTAAACCCGTTCACCGGCAGCTGGAAAGTGACTTTCAGTGCGAGAAGTCAGTAATACTCTTATATTATAATAATATATTGTACTTCATTTTATACAAGGAAATGGAAAAATTGTCATTTTATAAAATTTGGTCAATAGGTCTGCCGGAAAGAAAATGCTATGGGTATCGTTGAGCACACGCGCCAAATCTCAGTCTACCTGTGTGCAATTTACTCAAACCTCAGGGGAGGTCTGTGTAATTTACCCTTAAAAAATTTAAATTTATAGCGGGTCTTCACTTGTTATTTATATGGTATTTGAATGCAGGTGCAGCAGAAGAAGAAAACATTGACTGAAAACAGAGAAGGAATTTTTGTAAAATGTATGAAAAAGTGCTAGCTTTGGTAGAGCTCTGTGGTTTATGCAAAATCAAAACTCAGAGACCAATATTTTCTTGAATTAAATTTTCTGGTGGGTGTACAACTAGAGCAGGGTGATAACTTAGCCTTGTTGGCATATTCAAATTGTGGGTAGATGATTTCTTAACTGCAGTAGCTGATGTATAATTTGTTAATATGGGCCCTCCAGTATTAAGTTCTGGGTCATGTACATTATTAATCAGAATGTATAAGCTTCAGTTTATGGCAATTGATGTTCGGTTGTGTAACAGAAATATTTGAAATCTGGTGCATTCCATCTTTGTTTGTTTTACACCATATTAAGCCAATTGTAACATGTTTTACGTGGACTTGGATCCCCTCCTGTGCACAAAGAAGGGCTCAGATCACTCCGTGTGAATTAGAATTCACACTATTTATGGAAATCACAATTCACATGGAATCATTTCTACTTTTTGCACGTGCACGGGATATTATGTAGCACAGGATGTGATCATCTTCTGTATTTTTTACTTACAATATTCGAGTGGAATATTATGTAGCACAGGATGTGATCATCTTCTGTATTTTTTACTTACAATATTCGAGTGGACTAACATACCAAATATATACACACACTTAACTGGACTATTGTTATAAGGGGAGTCTTGTCCAATCCGAATGGAGAAGTGATTACTTACACTATTCGAGTGGACTAACATACCATATATACATACACACTCAACTGGACTATTGTTATAAGGGAGTCTTGTTCAATCCGAATGGAGAAGTGATTAGGTATGTATGAGTTGGTTGATAGCACCATCTAATAGCTTATATATATTTTTTAGATTGGACTGTTAAACATTTGGTTTGTTACCTTTTAATAAAAAAAAATTAAACTTTTTAAAAGGAGAATAACTTCTTCTTCCTCTTTTTTTGATAATCGGGTGTCCGGTGCTTTGATTTGACTAATTTACGGGACTCGTGCAAAGTGACCCTCCCCACACGAATTAGGTAAGACTCGAACTATGTCCGAGATTGTGCCCCCCGGAAGAATTGCTCGCACCTAGAATGTATCGAATTTGAGACCTAATGTTTCATGAGGCTTTCAGGCCCAAGTCTTTTCGAATTAGGTCATTCCCTTGGAGTTGGGAATAACTTATTTTACCCCTCAAAGAAATCCATTTTCCCATTAGGCCATATATTCACCTTCTGAAAACCATCCTTTATGTAAAAATTTTTTATAAGATTGGCTTCCGATGAATGCTCCGGCCAAGCATTCCTCTGTCGACATCGCCAATTATAAATTAGTCTTTTTCGACTTTTATGTTTAAGAGTAATGTATTCGACGATGGTCTTGCATTGTGAATTATCCGTTTTAATCAATGAATTGATAGATGAGTTAAAATTATTCATTTGAATTTTCATCTCTAAAAAACAAAAAGAAAGAATATGGAGACCTTATGGTTCTTATGAAAGAGCTCTCTTGAGAGCATTACTTATTGTGATAATATTAAGGAAAAAGAAAAAGAGTGATGAAATGATGTGTGGGAGGGAAATGAGTCACTGGAAATGTTTATCCAAAAAAATACAATAATAATAATGTTACCGGAAATTGTGAATCCAGTAGATAGGAAAATAATTTTGGAGCCAAAACTACTTTTATAACCTTGGTTCATCAAGTAAAATAAAAGCTAATAATAATAAAAAAAATTGTTGGATGAAAGAAAATGAGCGCATTTGGTCAATTAGTCTTTCTCTAAAATTGATAGATTTTGCTAAGTATTAAATTAATTCTTACCAACAGCCGGTTTATCTTTGTCTTGGCTACAATTGTTTGGATTTAAAATATTTTTTTAAAAATATTTTTATTTTAATTTTTTAGTATTTGATTGTCGTAAATATTTATAAAAAAAAAATATTAAAATTTAATAAAAATAACTTATCAATTAATTTTTGATATGTTATTTTACACACTATAATTTAATCTAAATCTCGATTTAAACATTTGCCAAGCAAAAAATATAATAATAAAAAATAACTTATCTGGAAAAAAATAATATTTTAGACGGAAACAAATGGAGTCTTTGAGAATGGTAGCATTTTGTTCGTTTATTTGTTTGTTTATTTTTTTTATTAAATAAAAAAATTAAGAGTTAATTACAATGACACCTCCTGAGACTTGCTATAATGATAGCTATATACAAGTTGGATCATTTTTGAACGATTACACCCCTTAGGTTTTATAAAGTAAACAAAGACACCCCAATTGTCCTTACACATAGGTGAATTGACATTATTGTCATTTGATACATTTAATTACCAATTTATCCAATACAAATTTTTTTATTGACCAAAATAACTAAGTAAAGTAACCGTACCACACCCACCATGACCGGTTCACAGCCCTATCGCCCCTTCTATAGAAAAGCTCAAATCTCACACTGAAAGTAGAAAAGCTCAAATCTCACTGAAAGCTTGCTTCCTTTAATTGGGTTCACTCTATACCATTCATCTTATCTCATCTCATCTCCTCCTCTGTTAACAAACCCATAATCCAATTTCAGAATTTTTGCCACCTATGCCACCGGCGAGGGCAAAAAGATTGCGGTTGAGACACCCACAACCTTTACTTTCAAAATTTTGATGGAAACATTCACAGTTGATGAGATCCGTCGGGATCAGAGAAGATTGGTTCGCTTGGAACTTCTACAAGTCTTTCTCTTGGGCTCCGGCAACGACCAAAGTGATGAGATTGGACTTCGGCAATGGTGGCTAGCAGCGGCGATGTGATTCCGGTGTCAGCTGGGGTTATATGTGTATGTGTGTTGTAAGTGTCACGGGGAGAGAAGAAGGTGAAGGCAGTGGTGTCAGGGATCTGTACCAGAGGTTAGAGTTATCGACGGCTGTGGTGGAGGAAAAGTAGCAGCGACTGTGGTTGAGAAGTGGTGGCGGTACAAAGAGGGACATGTTGGCGGCGATTGTGGTTGAGGGGAGATGGCGGCGACGGTTCTGCTTGGGGAGATGGTGGCGGCGGATGTGGTTGGGGAGAGGCTGTGACGGCGGATCAAAATGGCGGCAACGGATGTGGATGGGGCGGTGGCAGAGGTAGAGGAAGGAGGCGGTGAGATTGTGGAAGTGGAGAAGTGATGGACATTGCGTTGGAGAGAGAGGGTGGAAGTTGCGACGGTGCTGGACCGTAGGTGGGTGGAGATGGTGTACCGTAGGTGGGTTGAGACGGTGGGTATATATATATATATATATAGACGAGGGTGCTGATGTAATACTGTGTATGTATAAGGGCAAATGTGATTTTTCACGAATTCTGATATTTTACCATTAAAATGAATTAAACACTGATGGGCAAAGTAGTATTTTCAAACATTTTAAGGGCTTGTTTGGATCAAAATTTTCATAAGGGGTGTCATTGTTCAAAATGTAGTTAAATTATATATGACTGTCAATATGCCAAACATCATGTGTTGATGTAATTAACTCAAAAATTAAATTGCAACATTTTTCACATTTATTCCTATAGTCAACGCTATACTCAATGACCAAAGGATCAACCGGTCCTCACCCTTTCTTTTTTAAAGAGAGGTTGGAGATTCAAGGTGGGATGTGCGTGTAATTGTTTCAACTTTCAAAAAAAAAAAAAAAGAAAAAAAAGAGAAAAAAAAAAAACTATATCCAATGAATAGCTACCACGTGTCCTTCCGTCTTTACCCTACCAGTTTTCGCCATTTGTCTTGCCGTGGGAGGTACACACATACCATACAAGTCTACTATGTTTTTTTAATGTTCGGAAACCTAAAAGCTCGCTCCGATAAACAAACAAGAATCAAACGGAAAATCGAAACAATTTCGAGCCTTGAATTTCCATTCGGTAAGTACTTTCTCTCTCTAAATAGATCTCTTTATACACACTCACACACGCACTTATATATATATATTTGCATTTCTTCGAAAGGTCAAGATGTTGTTATTTCTCTGATTGAAACCCTCGAGTCCTATCTTTTGAAGCCCTTGATCTGCATTTGGTACAATTCTTCAGCTAAAGAGTGAAAATTGTTACAATTTGATTTTTTGAACTTAAATCATTCACTGTGCATGTCCTTGTACTTTGTGTAATTCATGTTTTTTAGCAAAGTCAGAATGCTTTATTCGATTTTCTTAATATTGGGTTCTGTTTGGGTGTCGATAGTGTAAGAAAATAAAGGGAACTCAAAATCTCGAACCTTATTTACGTCACAATCGTTTGTTGAGTTGATAAACAACAATTTTACTCAAAATGACATTTAAGTAACAAATTTTTTTTTCTTAGTTGAGTTGATATTTCGTTTTCTAGAATGAAAAAAAGAATTTTTGATTGCTCTGGTGAATTTATATTCACTGACTTTTTTCTTTTATTTTGATCCCACCTTTTTTTTCTTAATCTAAACACACTTATTACAAACAAATAGTCATACTTTTTGATAGCCTAGGGTTATGATCCTCTAGGTCAGTAGTTGTAGTTTAGACCTTATGCGTATGTAGGCTACCAGAACCTAGGGTTACGATCCTCATTCTTCACTTCTAGATAGCTAAAGACTTTGTCTCATCCATAGATCAAACTTTTCCTCCAGCTCAACACCTTCTGCAGACTGCAACCGCAACATAGATTTGAGCAATACTCAACCTCTTTTTACCCTCTGTTGGGAGTCAATATTCAGATTACAGAGAATGTCGAATAGATTTTTTTTTTAATTTTTTATTTATTTTTTTTGACAAGTAGGATTTTGAATAGCACTTGCTATGTAGTTCAGCCCTACAACATTTCAATATTCGAGGGTAATATTGAAATGTTTGACCCATATGAAGCCGTTTCTATCCTTGTACATACTCATTTTTGGATGCCACTTTTTCAACATAGGATTCCTATTAATGAAGTGCCACAGCCCCTTTTCTATGAGATTTTCCCTTGTGCGAACACTATTAAATCTAGAAAGAAAGTCTTGATCATTACTGAGGACCTCAACTCCTAACTAGTTCTCTTCCTATCCCAAATCTTGTGAAATATGCTGTTAACAGTATGGGGAAATGGGTTACTATTATCAACCATAACTTTTGGCTTCTTCTTAAATTCTTGTTGGAAGATAGTAGCCGATGTTCTTCGATCAAGTACAACTTGATGGTCTGGCTGATGAACTTGTGGCTGAGGACTATATTCAGACCAATTTGGTGGATTGGTCATTCCTTGCCCCCCTAACAACACATGATGTGGTGTAGGTCATATAAAGGATCTGGATCCTTCCATCTAACTTGATTGCCCCCGGGTCAGGAGGTTTCTCTGGAAGGGGAACTTTTGGTACAACTTAGACTATTGGTTGTTGAAGAATTAACTGTGGTGGAGTCTGAATTACATGTGGAAGAATTTGTGACGGCTACGAAGGTTGTGCTGTTATTGGAAGAAAAATATTCTGCTCGTGATTTTCTTCCCAAACCTTTGACTGATTTGGCAGAAAATTTGTTTATAACAAACTATGATGTAATGTCTGATTTATTGCTTGCGGTTGATTTGCCGCTGGTGGTTGATGGTTTTCTGGCCAAGCTTGCGGAAGATTGGCCATCGATTTCCCCCCGAGTATCGAAGGTTGCGGGGCTTGGGCAAAGAGTGGATTGTTTCTCCACCTAATATCTTTACACCCCGAGTCAGAAGGTTCCCTTCCGAGGAGATTTTCTGAAAATACCTGTGGTTGTGGTGGTGGCGCACATGGTTGATATATCGGCTGTGCAGGTGGAAGTTGCACCAGTGGCTACTGGGATGGTGGAATGGTAGGTTGCGGCAGAACTTTAGGCCAAGTCGTTGGCAAATTTTGTGGAAAACTTGCTACTGGAAGTGGCTGGTAAGGTACTGTCGGCGGAAGTTGCTGGATCGACCGAGTAGTCATTGTTGGAATAACCACCGGTGTCTGCACGGTCGATGATTGAACAACCTATTGAAGAATCGGCTGAGAGACCGAAATTTTGGATACTGGAAGTAACTGACTATACCAGGCTGCTTTGGAAAGCCGCTGATAGTTGAGGGACAAATTCTCGCACCTTGTCAAAATGAGCTTTTATTCTTTCGACTAATTCCACTAGTAATGAGTGAAGCTCTTTTTCCCACTCTCCATCACCAGTGGTAGCTAGTCGAGATATCTTTGGTTGTGGCATTGCAATCTTGACACTGCCTCACTTGGCTTGCCAATTTATGTTCGCTCACAAATGGACACTGGAGTGCGTAGGTGTACCAGAGTCTCGGAAGACTTAGAGAGAATCGAACAAAAGGAAATCCTTTTGAAACGATCTGGCTATCGTGGAAGAGAAGGAATAAGAAACTCTTCGCAGGGTTCTTTATGCATTTGATGAAAGGATTAACAAAACTACAATGCTATACTAGGGAATTGAAATGCAAGTGCATGTGAAGTAAATGAATTGAAATAGACTTGTATTGAAATTGCATAAACGATAAATGACAAGTATTGAAGTTGTTTGATGCTGTGGAGGGGCTCTCAAATGTAGTCCTAAGTATCCTATTTATAGACTTATAATCTAAGTACAAAGAGCCCGCGATTTGCTTGTTGGTTATTCTTCTAAGTCTTCGAAGTGCAGCTTCACTATTCACATGCCAAGTGTCTCATACTTGACCCGTGATTTTCTTTAGTGCCCAGCAATTTCTCTAATCAAATGCCATGTGTTCCATGAGTTATTCCATGATCCTTCAACTGCAAACCCATTATCCAAATAGAAGATATATATATTTTTCGTAACTTGCAAACTATTAGCCCACTGCCTTCAAAATAGGCATTCATCTCTTATCCTTATCTCTGTGATTGCCAAGTGTCCAATTAATTAGTTTATTAGCAGCAACTTGTAAACCCATTACCTACATGATAGTAGGCCTTGTTCTTCAACTTCAAATTTGTGGATGACAAGTGTCCAATCCTACTCCTTCATTCATCCATCTTTTTATTAATTAGTTGGCCCACTAATGTAATCCATTCCCACATTAAAAGGAACTTGGCAAACCATTTCCTTCTTTCTCTCCACGTGCTTCAAGTGGTTAAACCAACCAATTACCCATTATCCTTGTTTTTAGCAATTGTTGAGACACTTGATGTTTCTACTACATAGTAAAATAAAATAGCCACCTGCTACCATTTTATTCCGCCACATGTCAGCCTATTAATGGACCATAAATTGGTCCAATTGTCTCTCTCTCATTTGTCCACGTGGATGCCAAAGTGGCGCCACAAGGCTGCCATTTTTGTGTGTCAACACCCCCATGGTTAGAATACTCACTATAGCTATGATCCCTTTCCCTCCCCAAGATGTGTGGTTGCTCTGAAATTCTTGGGAGTCCTTTTTTCATTTCCTTGATTCTTTTCCTTGTATTCTCATATTCCTATTGAATTCCTGAAAAATGTGTCTTTGCAAGATCGTCAGTAACTCGTTTTCTAAAATCTTCATATTTCAGACCATGTGCAACATTCTCATCTTTGAAATCTCCTTAAACAATATCATTAGATTCCTAATTCTCACCATTTACATATCTTTTGTCATAGAGAAGTTAGTCCCCACGACATCAGCTGGAATCAGTGCAGAACTGGAAAAGTTGCCATGAAAATGGACTTGAAACTATTAACTAGCAGAAAGAGCTTCATATCAGCCAGCAGATCAGGAAAAGTTGATATCTCATTTTCTATTTATAGAATTGATATCTTATTTTCATCAAAAAAATTTATTTGCTTTCAAAAGTTTTTCCTTACCCTAGCAACCAAGCAGGGCAGATAATGCTTTTCTCTTGCTCTCTCTCTCTCTCTCTCTCTCTCTCTTTTTTTCCTTAATGGGGTATTTTTTATATATATAAATCAAAATAGTACAATTACAAAAGGAGGAAGCCTCCAGTACATGCCAAGAAGTGAACTAAATCCACTTTCAACAAAACAAAAGAAAAAACCCAAACTAAGTAGAAAAATCAAAAGCAAAAGAGCAAAAACTAAAAATCAGAACAAATCCCAAAGAACTCTATGGAGTTAAAAATTAAATGTTGCTATACCGCTGTACCTTGACCTTGTATTGCATGGAATACCCATGGAGGCATGGACTTTTCCTTTCCAGTGATCCTGGCAATATCTTGTTGAATTATCCATCTGTCGATTCTTAAGCTCTATGAACACCTTAAAAAGGGACTTTGAAAGGAGGCATGGACGACTCTGAGCAATGCAGAGCTGAATCCTAGCAAATAATGATTGTAAAGACATTCCATTTTGTCACATATAATACCCTATTTTAGTCATCTGCAATGGATGCTACCCACCTCTCAGTAGGCATTGTACATCAACGTGCGTTGTGAAGATTGTCCATGCACCGTTGTAGAGCTCCCTTTTATTCGCTTCTTGAAATTTTATACTAATGATTTTATTATTATTATTATTATTATTATTATGTTTTTTAATTTTTCTTTTGTGGGGCGGGGGGAAGTCCCATGTTGTCCTCAAAGGACTTTTGAGAATTGTGACTTTTTTAGTGTTTTTGCAGAGGATAGCAGTCCCTTATTTGAAGTTTTTGTTTTCATTTTTTTTTGTCTGGCTTCATAAATGAGAGAAAAAGTTAGCACTGGGTGTAGTATCTTAATTCGTTCTCAAGATTTTGTAATAGCACATACCATTATAGTATGAAAGTACTTATTTACTCATTGTAGTTATTGATGCACATTAATTAGATAAGGGTTTAAGCAATTTGGTTGCAAATATTTTGATATGGAAACTTGTTCATGCCTGTGCCAGACATTTATGATGCTTTTGGGTGAGAATTCTGCAATCTTTCCACTTTTGCTTTGTTTTTCCCTCCAATAAGTTTCCCATTGGGTTAGTACACAAATTTTCGCTGCTTTTGTACTTGGTTCTTGACATCTTGTAATATCTTTGGTGGTTTGCACAAATTCAATTGTGTAGTTGGTGGCACAGTAATACTGGTTTGCGCAAATTTTCAATAATGAGTTATAAGTTTCATTTTTATAAATTCATCCTTAATATTGAAGTTTTTTTGTGAAGCTAATCATGTCAGGTAGAAGGTATATGATTTATGATTGTTTTTTTATCCCTCGTTTTTTAATTTCCTTTTCCGGGTAAAAAAATCCTGAGTGAATGACCATACTTCTTATTGCTGTACTTCAGTGGATATGCAGACCTCAATGGATGACGGAACAAGAAGAATAGAAACTTCTGCAGGAGAGGAATTAAGTTTATGTGAAGCTAACAGAAATCAAGAACCGTTTGAGGGTATGCTATTTGAATCTGAAGATACTGCTAGAGCATTCTATGATGAATATGCCAGAAGGGTAGGATTTGTAACCCGTGTTCTATCATCCCGTAAGTCAGAGCGTGATGGGTCAATTATTTCACGGGGACTTGGATGCAGAGGAGGTTCTGATAATAAAAATACATCGAGTCTTCCAGTTCAAAAACAAGATAGACGACGAGAAGGTTGTACGTCAATGATCTTATTGAAGAGAGAGAAGCCTGGTAGATGGGTGGTTAGAAAATTTGTGAGGGACCATAATCATCCCCTAGTGGTTTCATTTCCAAAGAGGCGTCCGAGTTATGTAAGTTTTCTATGTGGTTACTCAGATAATTTGATTTCTTTAAAAGTCATTTCCCAATCTTGGTCAAAAATGGATATACCTTACCATTGACATTATTTGCACTATGTGGTTGCTCACAAACTTGAGCTCTCATGCTTGGCAGTCTGTGCATTTTATTATTTCACCAAGCAATGACTCCAATATAACTTGCATTCCGTTTGATTTGTGTTCTGTATTCTTTTCTTCCTTTTTCCTTATCAGTATGGAATTTTCAGTTATTAATTATGGTGCCCGACTTTTGCCTTCTACTCCCTTTTTCTCTGTAAGGACAAATTGATGCAACGTTAATTTTTTTCTTTACTGGAGTGGTGTTCCCAACTTTAGAATATTAATTTCCTTCAGACACGTGACAGGCCCCTACACCTCATGCCACTTTTTAGTCCAACAAGAATCCTGTGAAGCTGGCCTCAAGGGAGGAAAATCGAACTGAGGACGTCCACTTTCTTAGGCTTGGTTTCAACGATTCAACCTCTTGGGGTTAAGTTTGATATTAGTTTTATTTCTCAAAGCTTTATGATTAAGTTTGTCTCAAATTGTCATGCCTGCTTTGGTCCAAGCCATGACGTACAGGGTTTTGTTTTTTTTTGGTTTTGTTTTTGTTTCTTTTTGTCCACAAAACTGATCGCGCAAAAGCATTTGATTTAGTGCATATGTCTTCTCATTACATAAAAAACAGCACAATAAAACTTTTTGTGAGAGGGAAAGAAGCATATCAATTTTTTTTTTTTCCTAGTGTACTCATACACACGTCTCTTCTGAGACTTGAACCCCTGACCTCCCTTTGGGAAGTAAAAATAAGTATATCAATTGAAGAGAAGGGATGCACAAAAGCAAAGAATCAGAAAGATGGTCATCCGAAAATGGAGATGAAACACTAAAACTATATAGAATTAGAAGCCTTACTAAACTTGTAGGCAAACTTGTCCTTATGTTCTTGTTGTTCTTCTGTAGAGTTAGGTCAATTTTCACTGGCTAAATCAACCTTTGCCTTAGAGAATATTTCATTTATTTCTCCAGTAAGATATGCATGTTTATAGGAAACACATCTCATTCTTATTATTCCATCAGACTGGGGAGGAGTGTAAAATTTAATATAGGGTAGAGTGCAAAAAACCCCCTGAACTATGGGCCAAAATGCAATAAACCCCCTGAACTACAAAAAATGCAATTAACCCCCTGAACTATGGTACTTCTTTGCAATTTACCCACTCCGGTCACCGTCAGAAAATTTTGACTGTTATTAGGCGCGTGTATGCCACTTTTTTTTTTCTAAATGCCCATTTCACCCTTGTCATACAAAAATACCAAAAAGCCCTTTTATTCCCCAAATCTATTAACCAACAAAACCTCTTAACACCCAAACACACCCTTATATCAGTACACTGATATGCTACACACACACACACAATATATATATATATCACTGTTCGCCATCTTCTTCACAGCACTGATTAAAAAAAAAATAAAAAAATTCTCCTAAACATCCAAACTGCAAACGCACCATTATATCAAAACACACACAAATAAATCGAAGCGGTGCAAGAATCATCTCTGCACGACGTGTTCCTCAATTGGTGCACATTCATCCGAGCCAGCTCAGTCAACTTGTCACCCAATTACCGCTCCTCTTGCTCAATCACAGCCTTCCTGCCCATTTGCAGTGAATTGCTTAAACGCCGTCGAAAAATCTGACACCAACGGCTTCAACTCGCCTCGACTCAACACAGCAACTTTCTTCGAGTACATAAAGTGAAGGAATTGACTCAGCGGCAAAACTCGTGGCGATAGAATCTTGATGTCGCTCTGATCAGGTCCTTCGTGAGTGAAATTCTGGTATTGCCCTTGTCGTCCTCCTCCTGAGACGCACCGTGGTAAACCCATTAATCAGCGCCGTGGTGAGTCCGGAGCGAGTGGTCAAGTTCTAGTTTGGCGACTCGGATCATTGGTGTTGATCGCAGTAGCGTAACCGGCCCGGAAGATGCAGTTGGTGCCGTGGTGAGTCCGGAGCGAGTGGGTGTGTTCCAGTTTGGTGATCCGGGTCGTTGGTGTTGATCGCGGCGGCGTAACCGGTCCCAGAAGATGTAGTTGGTGCCGTGGTGAAGGGCGGTTGTCGCTGAAGTATCTGATGGACTTGGTGATGACGACGATGAGGGCTTGTGGGACTTTGTGATACATGTGTCGATTTCCTTTTGGTTTCGGAGATTACAATTTGCCACCTCACTTATTTAGCTAAGAAACTACTGAAACTATGCCGTTTTAGTGAGGGTAAATGCGTCTTTGAATTGGTTAAGTTCAATATTCCAAAAACTATGTCGTTTCAGTAAGGGTATATTTGTCTTTTGATTTTTCCGATCAACCCAATTGCCGGAATGGGGGTAAAATGCAACAAAATAATAGTTTAGGGGGGTTTCTTGCAAAACCACAATAGTTCAGGGTTTTTTTTTTGCACTTTACCCATTAATATAACTTACTCTGGTAGGCCATAAGAATTAAAAATATAGCTCCGCTTTTTTTCAGTTTCAAACAATCTTCTTATCCATACAAACTTGGTTTCTTGAGAGAACAACCATCAAATTGGACTCGACAAACTCAATGAAGTGCAAAGAATTGGCTTAATGACTAACTAGGGGTGGGGGCGAGCCTTGGTGTAATGGTAAGGTTGCTCCATTGTGTCGTGGAGGTCACAGGTTGTAAACAACTAAACAAGGAAACAGTCTCTCCGCATGCAGAGGTAAGGCTGCGTACATTTGACCCTCCCCAGACCCCGCAATGGTCGGGAGTCTAGTGGACTGGGTTTGCTCTTTTTACTTCGACTAGGGGTAGAGGAGGCAAGTCCCTTCCTGTCTGTCTGTTCAGGTATTTGAAAGAAGGATACCTGCCAAATCATTAGAATGAATGATCAAACAGAAATGAAAGTTCATACTCTCATCTTGAATGGGTTATCTTTCATTAAGATCTGAGTATAACCTTTTATTCCGTTTATCTTGAATTAACTAGAGAATAACTAGATTGACAACTTTCCACAAATCTTGGTTTAGGGGCCCAAGATGTTGAAAATTGAAGTTCATGTAGTAAAAAGAAGTCTAAAAATGAGAACCATGACAAGTATGCCATGTTATGAAAGGGAAACCTTTAATTGATGCTACTTTTTAATTGAGCAACAACTGACTAATATTGTTGTTAACCTCACTGCACATGGCAAAAAACATGGGGATGAGACTCTGTAATACCTTCTTCAGAGTTTTCTCTGGTACTGTCAACCTCCTTTCGGCAACAATACCACACAGTATACACTAAAAGAAGCTTTCTCTTCAGTAACACCAAGAAAAACAATATCAAATACTCAGGTGAAGTGTAAGTGTACTTTCTAGAATATTGTGGAGTGTGATTGTGTTTGCGAAGGGCAATATTTCATTTTATTTTTTCAAATAAAAATCAAGTTTGAGTGCAAGCGGCGAGATCTACAGATCTGTTGAAAATGCTCTATGATATAACATGTTCTGAAAAACCCATACAAAATGAATTAGGACATTTTGAAGGTTATTGGATGATGATGGTTATCTTGCTTTGAAATAAAAGTAATAAATTGTAGCTACATTAGTTTATCTAAGTTTTTGGTATAACTTTTTGTGTATGTGGCATCAGTAGAATTCAATAACCACAATAAAATGCTAAGTCTACCATTTATATTAACAAACCTAGTAGGTTAGGGTGACATTAGTGTGTTAAATTGTTAACCTCAACATCATGAAGTAACAAATAAGAAAGCTTGAGATGATTTTTTTAAAAAAGAGAAAATATACTTTCTTTTTATTTTTTTATTTTTTTTTATATGGACTTCTTTTTTCGTTTTTATTTTTTTTTATTTTAAAAGTGAAACTTCTTCTCAAATTTTTTAGGGGAAAATAGTATAGGGAAGTAGAAGAATGTTTAGTAAATTTAAACAAAGGATTTGATTATTGGCACTCAACTTTTCTCCACTTGCACTCCACTTGAATTTTTTATCAAGTCAAATGACAAAATTATTCCTCAAGTGGAATGGAAGAATACTTTCTAGAATATTGTGGAGTGTGATTGTGTTTGCGAAGGGCAATATGTCATTTTATTTTTTCAAATGAAAAGCAAGTGTGAGTGCAAGTGGCGAGAAGTGTGTGAATATGATCATAATCACCATCCTTCCCTTTATCCCATAGAGATGTGGTCGGCCACATAAATTCTATTTTTTCCATTCTTTTCTATTATACACACCATTGTCCTCTCGTAAATTTAGAATTTTCTAGTCGTTTTTAATTACTTTAACCCACGTGAGTTTTGGTCAACCTCTTTGTCACTTACCTTCTACACAAACAACTCCGCCTCTTTCTATAGGTGCATTATCGGGCCTATGTTGAATATGATCATACTACCTAAGTCTACTTTTCCTAATTTTATCATATATAGGCGCTATACCTAATGTTCCCCTCACATGTTCGTTATTTATCTATCTCGTCTAGTGATTCCTATCATCCAACATAGCATCCTCATTTCCGCTACATGGATGTTGTATTTGCGTCTTCCTTTAAACAATTCGCAATTCAAATGTCCTGCATTAGTATAATATTTAATCTTTTGTTGTTTCTCCTTTTTCTTGTAGTCTTCTGACCATTGTGACGATCTTTTGGGTGGGTGTGCCATGGGTGGGTGCAGAGGCACTGGCAGACTACCACACTAGGCGAGCTACAGGATGCACAGTCATACATCGCTTGGGTAAGGGAAATGTGAAGTGCTTATATGTGGTGGTGTTATCTTCAATTGGTATGAGTCATTTTGGGGTAAAACCCAAGAGCAAAACCGTGCGGGCTTGGGCCAAAGCAGACAATATCATACCATGTGGTGGAGACTGGAGTAGGTCGTTACAAATGGTATCATTTCCTGATCCAGTCGGAAGTGTGGCCAACGGGGACTTTGGACCCCAAAGGGAGGTGATTTTGATGACCTTGTGGGTGATTGTGCCGTGGGCGGGTGCAGAGGCACTGATAGTCTACCACACTAGGCGAGCTACAAGTTGCACAGTCCTACATCGTCTGGGTAAGGGAAATGTGAAGTAGTTATATGTGGTGGTGTTATCTCCAATTGGTATGAGGCCTTTTGGAGTAAAACTCAAAAGCAAAACCGTGTGAGCCCAGGTTCAAAGCGGATAATATCATACCATAGGGTGGAGTGGTTCACCTTTTGTATAGGTTTCAATGATGATAGCCTTGTTTTGGGTTGTGGTACCAAGTGTCAGGTGTACGGAATATTGATGGTATATGACTCTCAGGATGGGGAAGGTGCATGGTTATGAGCTAAGATAGCACATTAGCTTCATAGGCTATGGGTGTTCAAATCAAATTGGGGTTGTCATTCCATTGTAGAAGGTGTTTTTCCTTATCATTGGAAGTAGTGATAAGAATGTTTGGAGTTGCTAAGGGGCGCGGAGTTCCTTAGTTTGTCTTTTGAGATATGGTTTGAGAGTTTGGAGGTATGACCGTGAGTGGTCATTTTCCTTTGAGTTTGTTTTTAGCATAGCAACACCATGTAGAGTCGTAACCTTTACGATAGGTTTAAGGACCATCGTATCAGAGGGTCAAGAATGGTTTATTCACTCATGTCTTTTAGTTGTGTTGCCTTGGAGTTAGAGGCGGGGTGCTTGGGCCCTACCATAGAGGTGCGAGCTCATGTTAAGAGCGGAGTTGTCTTGGGATGTGTTGTTGGTCCCACAAGTAAGGGAGTTTGGATTATAGTTTAGAGTTGGCTTGATGTACTTGATTTCTTTTTTCCTTTACACTTGCATCCATTTAAAAGTTATGATGATATCTCAAATCTTATGACATGTAGGTGAAAGCATGTACTGATTTTTGTCTTCTAAAATGCGGAGTAGCTAGGTATAAGTGGAAGGTTACATTCCATATGTTATATGCATTTATCTTCCATGTGGTGATGTTTTGGTAGTACTAGTTATAAATGTTATATGTGAATGCATATGTGTTTAATGATGAAGTCTTTGATTACGCATGTTATGTGATTTAAACGCGGGATTTATAATCACAGGGCGTTCCTTGGATTGTGGCATGAGAATAGAAAATTGGGACCTACTTGGATTGTGGCATGAGAATAGAAAATTGGGACCTACTTTAGAGGTAAGGTTACTATAAGAAAGGTATGTTGACCCTATGAGTTAAAGTTGTGAGTTGGTATTGTGAGATGTTTCTCTCCTTTAGGTGCGATGAGTTTGACTCCATCTCGATAGAGATTGGGCGTTCATGGTTGGACGACAAGTGTTGTAGTGCACTCTGGATGAGGGTCGTCCGGCTCTTAGAAGAGCAAGGTTTTATTTTTTATTTTTTTTACAACGCATTTTAAAGCCGCGATGGCCGTGAACCTATTAGAACTTCGGAGTTAAGCATGTTTAACCTGGAGTAGTACTAGGATGGGTGACCTATTGCGAAGTCTCTGGTTTGAGGGAGCAAAAAACGGACAATATTGTGTATGGGTAGGGTGAGTATTGTTACAAATGGTATCAGAGCCGAAGCCTAGCTGGAAGTGTGGCCAACGAGGATGTTGGGCCTCACGGGGGGTGATTGTGACGATCTCTGTGGGCGGGTGTGAGATACTGGACAAGCTACCACACTGGCAGGTTACAGGGTGTCACGATCCCACATAAGTACTGTATGTAAGGTTCAACACCCTTCTATGACACATTGCGTTTTAAAATCGTGATGGCCGTGAACCTATCAGAACTTCATAGTTAAGCGTGCTTAAATTACAATAGTACCCGGATGGGTGACCCCCTGAGAAGTCTCTGGTCCGGGGGAGTCAAAAGTGGACAATATTGTGTCTGGATAGGGTGAGGGTTGTTACAACCATAATTACCATGATGAAGAAAGATACTTGTTATTGTTATGTACTTAGGTTCATTAATCTTATTATGATGATTTACACTTTTCTTTGAGATAACATTTCTTTTTAGGATGCGTTGCCTGAATGTAATTTAACTTTTTTTTATTCAAATCTGAATGTTTCTACATCAATTCTGTTTCAATTAATCTGCTTCTACAATTACTTTCCCAGGATGAAAAAGATAAGAAAATTCAGGAACTAACTGCAGAACTGCGGGTGAAGAAACGTTTAAGTGCAGCATATCGTGAACAGCTACTTACTCTTATGAAAGATGTTGAAGACCATAATGAACATGTTTCAGTGAAAGTTCAAGTTGTTCGAAACAATCTTAAAGAACTTGAAGCTAAAAGGCAGGAGCTTTTACACCGTAGATAGCCCAGGCAAGCATGTAGCCTGAGTACATATGTGTCTCTGCATGTCGTCTTGAATATTTTTATGAGCATGGAATTCATTTCTTAATGAGCAATTGGCGTGTGATGGGGCATCCCGTTGAAATGGATTGGTTTCACATCTTTGGCATAGCTTAGAAGTTGAGGCCATAAAAGAATTCGGATCCATCATCTAAAATTTTGTATGGATTAGTTTTAGATTTCTTTAAATTTGTATTGTTTGCTCTTTTGCTATCATTTGTGATAATGGCTGCTAATTCCTATATTTCCCCTCTTCAGGGTGACACTAGTTTCATTCAAACAAACAGAACCTTTAAAAACAATGCAATCTTGACAAATAATTTACTATTGACGTCTCTTTCGCTTGAAACACAAATGCCACTAATGTAATGTGAAATCTGGAGAACCTTCTATTCTATTCCGTCTTGATATGATTACTTTATCAAAAAAATTATGTGATTCTGTATAGACAAAATAATAATTTGCACCAGTGCTATGGCTGTAGTTTTGCGTGTTTGTGTATATCTATTTGATTTCGGTTCAATGTGAAGTACTTAACAATTACCGTGTACTCGTCATGTAACAATACTGAACTTCTAATTTCTATGTGGATGCAGAAAAGGAAGCAACAGAGTCAGGATAGTTTTTGTATCAATGCATTGAGAAAGCTTTTGCAGAAGGGAATGAATTCACTGGCCGAGGTATTGCGACATGGAAGCCCATGAGGCCAAGGTGGTTGGTTTGAAATTGGTTTTGGTTAATAAAAGGGATGATTTGCATATCCGTGGGCCTTCAAATTTTGGGGAAGATGATTCGGCAAAATTCCTGGTCATTGCATCCTGTCCCAAGGTAACAAGGGTTTACAAAAGCTGAGATGGAATCTCTTATTCAGCAGGGTTCCTTATTTATTGATGTAGGGTTTCCTCACATCTGAAGAAATGTTTGTCAGTGGGCTTGTTAATATTTCATTAGTAGTTCCATTGATCTGGACATTTCTAATGGAGTATTTCATTAATGGTTTTGTGATTACTTAGCATAGTCATTTATACTCCCATTTATGCTGGTTGATGACTTCTAGACTCTTAGTTTAGTAACCATCTTGATATTCTGAGATCAATATTCAAATTTGGCCAATCGGATGGCCAAGATTGGCCTCCTGGATGGAGCTGGTATTGAATGAAGCAACATGGTTGATGAACTTCTTGTCTCATTTCTTTAATAATCCAAAAGATTGTCCATTTTGAAGTATCGTATTATTGTTGCTGAACCATTTTATGTGAAGATTTTTTTTTCTTTTTTGAAAGAGCTATAGAAATCCATTCAAGCATATCCAGTTGGGCTAAAGAGGTTTGATTAGCTACCCTAGTTGTGTGTACACCAGCTACTGGTATTCTTTTGATGAGCAGAATTAGTTGCAAGTATTTAAGAAGCATCATGCATAGTTTGCGTTTTTTCAGTGTTGTTTACAATTCATTTTTAGAAAGACAGAGACAACTAATATATATATATTAAATTACAAAGACAACTAATATTGTGAGTGTGTGCGCATTTGCTTGAACATTAAAATAATAATAATAATAATAATAATAAATAAATAAATAAATAATCAAGTTTGCACGGCCTTGTTGGTCTCCCTCTTGTTTTCCGCAGAAAGAAGAAATTATTGTGTTGGAAGCTAATGAATTGCGTGACTTTTTGATTGCCTCCAGCTTATGCAAAGCATCTAGTTGCTTCAATTATTGGACTGGAATTGGGTTACCTTTACTTTCTTATTATTTTGTTTTTTGTTAGCTTCACAAACTAAAAGAAAGTATTCCTGTCCATGTAACAAAGTCATGGACATTTCCTGACTTGTACATTTTCTTCAATTGTTGTATTGGAATATGGATCTTACCTCTACTTTTGAACACCGACCGTCTTTACGTTTTCATCATTCCTTGTGCATGCAGGAAAGGATTCATCATCCTCTGCATCATCAAAGCAATTTTACATCAAATCTATTTTCATTTTCCATTCTGTTTTAATTTTCCATATCAATCAAACAAAGCCTGTGATCAAAGACGCAAAGCAATGGCAGAAAGTGCAGTAGGCTCGGTTATTGACGCCTTGGTGCCACTGTTAGCCCAAGAAGCAAAATTGTTGAAAGGTGTCCATCAAGAAGTTGTCAGCATCAAAGATGAACTGGAGAGTATACAATGCTTGCTGAAGGATGCAGATGCAAAGGCAGAAATCAACAATGGCGTTAAAATTTGGGTGAAACAAGTAAGGGAAGTAGCTTATCTGATAGAAGATGTGATTGATGAATACATACACTTTGCCCGGCAACCTCAGCAGAGTGGTTTCATCAATATCTGTCGCAAAGTTGCTCACTTCATCGTAAGACTGAAGTCACGGCATGAGATAGCCTCTAAGATTCAAGAGATCAAAACAACCATCCAGGAGATCAAGCAAAGAGCTGATAGATATGGATTCAGTTCCTTGGAGCAAGGATCAACCAGTGGCACAAAAGATGGCATGTGGCATGACCCTCGAGTGGCTTCTCTTTTCATTGCTGAAGATGAAGTTGTAGGCATTGAATCTCTCAAAGAAGAATTGATAAGCAAGCTATTGGCAGAACAAGCAACGCGTGCAGTGATTTCTCTCGTTGGCATGGGTGGATCCGGGAAGACCACTGTTGCCAAGAAAGTTTATGACAACCCAAGAGTGACTAGACACTTTGATTGTCATGCTTGGATCCCTGTCTCTCAATCCTACAAGATGGAGGAGCTTCTCAGAACAATGATCAAACAGATGTACGGATCAACAAAGGAGCTTGTTCCTGAGGAAATTGATACAATGGAAGAAGTTTCACTCATTGAAAAGTTAAAGGAATATCTAGAAGTGAAGAGGTATGTGGTTGTTTTTGATGATGTATGGGGAATAGACTTTTGGAGATTCATAAAACATGCTTTACCAAAGAACAACAAATGCAGTCGAGTAATCATCACCACTCGAAATGATGATGTCGCTGCTTCTTGCAAAGAATCTCCATTTGATTACGTCCACCAACTTGAGCCTCTCTCTGAAGATAAGGCTTGGGAACTCTTTTGCAAGAAGGCGTTCCAATTAGACTTTGGGGGTCAACGTCCATCAGAGTTGAAGGAAGTTTCTCTTAAATTGTTGGCAAGTGTGAAGGATTGCCACTTGCAATTGTGGCAATAGGTGGTTTGTTATCACCAGAAAACAAGACTGCATCCGAATGGGAAAAGGCGTACAATAGCCTCGGTTTTGAGTTACAAAGGAGCCCCCAGCTTACAAGTATTACCAAAGTCATATTAATCAGTTATTACGATCTTCCTTACTACCTGAAATTTTGTTTTTTGTACTTGAGCATAATACCGGAAGACTTCTCTATTCGTCGTGGAAGATTGATTCGGTTGTGGATAGCTGAGGGATTTGTAAAACCAGAAAAAGGAAAAACTTTGGAAGAGGTTGCAGAAGAATATTTGACCGAGCTAATTCACAGAAGTTTGGTTCAAGTGACTGAGCTGAAAGAAATTGGCGAATCAAAAATTCATACTTGTCGGGTGCATGACTTGATCCGTGAGCTTATCGTTTCAAAATCCGAGGAGTTGAGTTTTTGTCAAGTTGTGGAAGATGACTCAAGTTTTGATGGACAACCTCGGCGACTTTCATTCCATAACCATGTTTATAATGTTTTAGAAACCATCGGTAAGCTCCGAATTCGTTCTTGTTTTATTTTTAAAGCGGCCGATGAGTTTCCAAAGCCATTTTTAGGTACGTTGTTTGCAAAATTCAAGCTATTGAAGGTGTTAGATCTTGAAGGCGCTCCTCTCGATAATCTTCCTGAAGAGGTTGGAAAGTTGTTCCACTTGAGGTATTTAAGTGTGAGGAATACAAATGTGAAGATCCTTCCAAAGTCCATAGGCAAGTTATACAACTTGCAGACTTTAGATGCGAAATACTCTCTTGTGGACGAGCTACCCTGTGAAATTATTAAGTTACATAAGCTGTGACACCTTTTGGCCTACGATCTTAACTACAATATTGATAGCATGATTGATTTAAGAAGAGGAGTGAAAGTGGATGAAGGAATTGGGCATTTAAAGGAACTGCAGAAACTACATTATGTAGAGGCAAGTCATGAAGGATTTGACCAAATAATTAGAGAGCTGGAAAATTTGAGGGAGTTGAGAAAGTTGGGTATCACAAAGTTGAGAAGAGAAAATGGGAGGGCTCTCATCGACTCCATTCAAAAAATGAAACACCTTACCAGTCTTGAAGTCGGGGCAGTAAACGAAGATGAGATCCTGGAAATGCATGACATCTCCACCTCAGTGTCTGCAACATCTCTTCTTGTATGGGCGTTTAGGGAAGTTGCCGGATTGGATCTCTAAACTTCAAAATCTAGTCAGATTAGGTCTGTTTTTTTCAAGATTACGTGATGATCCGATAAAAGCCCTGCAAGACTTGCCTAATCTGTTATTGCTGAATCTCTGTAAGGGATATGATGGTGAGAGATTGTATTTTGGGGCAAATTGGTTTCAGAAACTTAAGGTGTTACGTCTCACTGAGGTGTGTGAGTTGAATTCATTGGTAATAGAGGAAGGAGCGTTGCCACTTCTTAAAGA